CACTGCTGCACCTCCACCTGCCGCTCCCCGCAGATGACGTTGCAGTAGAGGCATTTCTCCAGGTAGTTCCAGTAGTGCGTGTAGTGCAGGTCGGGGCAGGGCGAGCACACCGTCGGGCTGTCCCTGCTGCAGTGCTGTGCCACGAATGTCCCCGGCGGGCACTGCTGGCAGGTGACCTTCTCCTTGGTCCCAGCATCTCTCCACTGGTACGTGGGTGGGGAGCTGCAGCCCAGCTCTGCCAGCAGCAGGAGGAGAGGAGCAAACGCCCACTGTAGGGAAGCAAACAGCTCTTACAAGGGGAAGAGCAACCGGCTCGGCTGCTGCGCTGTCTTGCTGCTCCCGTTCGACACCGCTGACGCGAGGAGTTCTCATGCATGCAGCTCCCTCGATTGCTCTCCCACCTGATGCTCTCAACCCCAGCTGTGCGATGAGGTCCCCTCTGCCCACACTCACCATACGGGGGGTGGCACAGCATCCATCCCAACAACCCCACAGCCCCTACAGTCGTACTGCCGGCAGCCCAGCACGTTCTCCTCCGCTTCGGAGGTTCCCCCATTGTCGGGGTGATGCAGCGGCAGAGCAGCGGGAGAGAACTTCTCCAAACGAGCAAAGCGCGCTCCGTAGGAGCCCGACATTCCTCCACTCCGAGGCTGAGAACCCCGGAACTTTCTTTCTCCTCCCACCCCCTCCTCAAACAGCCACCGACCCCCGGACGGTAGGAACCCACCTTGGGCGGCCGCCAGACGGTCGAATCGGGGCAGAGCAGCATCGCCGCGGGGCTACGAGGCGCGGCGTCGTCGTCGGTGGGGGTTCCGGGGGGCGACGGATCCTCGCAGCGGCTCCGCGGTGCGGCGGCAGCTCCCGCTCAGCTTTAAAGAGATGCAGAGAGGGGTGAGGCTGCTGCCGTGAGCTCTGCTCCCCCGCACACAGCCGGGGGCGGCAGGGCAGGGTCTCCCGGCTGTCCTCTGTTGGCCCCGTCCCGGTCTGAGCGCCACGCACAGCCCCTTTATAGCCCTAAGATGGAAAGACCCCTCTTGCGCAACGGCCCCCCCCCCGCCCCGCCGCAGCCCCGCACCCCTCCGGCCCCGCTCCGCTGCGGCGCGGTTACCTGTCCTCAGTACAGCGGCAGGTAGAGACTGCGCGTTATATAGGGATATGTGGGCGCTGAGCCGGGGCTCGCGGGGGAATAGCAGGGAATTCCCCGGGGGATGGCCTCGCTTTAAGTGCTCACAGCTTCCCGAGAACAGCCCCCAAACGCTCCCCGTCCCGCAGCCCCCTAGGGGCATTCGGTGCCGCCACTCACAGTCCCGATGTGACGACGGCTGCACCAACACAGACACAGCTGGACAGTCAGGCTCGCAACCAGACTCATAGCTGGACAAACAGCGGGACGCACAGCTGCACTCACCGTGTTCGAGTAGGGCATCCCCATAGCGGGCTCGCAGCTTCACCCTCCTCCTTTACGAGCACCGCAGCTCCTGCCCCGCTCCAGCCGTGACACCGAACCCCGCTGTTCAGTGGATGCAGCAGCACGGCAGCATCAGACAGCAGATGCTCTGCTGGCAGTCCCAGAACCGAGGATGAGCAGCGGCAGTTCTGCTCAACAGAGCCACCCAGGAGCGAATTCAGCAGCACTGCCGTTGTTGCTTAAAAGCATCACAACGGGCGTACTTTGTCCTGCCCTACTCGGGCTCCCTCTGAAGCCGAGTCCAAGGACACCTCCACGCTGTGCCTGAAGTGCTAACAACGAAGGTGAGCCCTAGACAGCCCGTAGCCTTCCTTAAAGGCAAGGACAGAGTGGAGGAGGAGAGAGGCATCCCCTTCCCTCGGGGCGCATGCAGGAGCCCCATCCTGAGCTCAGCCCTACCTTACAGACATCCCCATGGGCTCAGCACTGGAGGGCAGGGAGGAACTGCACAGCCACAAGGGACTGAGAGCAACTGGGAGGCAGAAGATGAGCAAACTATCGGGGCATTCAGCTCTCCAACCGATGGAGGTGAATACATCACCATAAGATCCCATCCCAGCACAGAGAACCTGGGAAAGCACTGCACCCACCTCTCCCTGGGCCCTCTGCAGGGCTAACACCCTTCGGTGGCTTTGTGCACAGGAGGCAGCACCTCTCAGTGCTCAGTTTGCAAATACGTTTGTACACAGACACCCTGTGCTGCATCCAGATCAGGTGCATGCATGGGGAGAGGGGGGGCACAGACTCGTGCCCCATAGCAGCCCCAATCCAGCAGCCCCACAGGAGGAAGCAGCACTGGATACCCACGGAGGCTCTCCAAAGAGACACTCAGCAGCAGCCAAACCAGTATCATAAACACCACGCTCCAAAAAAACAAATGTGAAGTTGCTGTTAACATAAAGGTCAGTCACAGTACAAGGGGTCAGAGGATGTGGAGGCTTTGCTCAACCTCAGAGTTTGCAAATCATTACAGAGAACTCCCCACACGGACCACTCACCTTCTGCAACACCAGAATTCACGCTCAGCAGAGGGACACCAAACTGCCCCAACTCACCTTTGGGTCACTGCATCTGCACTCCTTTCCGGGTGGTGAACCTCACTGGATCCATTCCTAATAACCTTAAGGATCCTACAAGGGCTGAACGTTTCCCAAGTCCTCAAACCAAACCACTGCTTCACCACCCAGGAAAAGCAGCAAATCCTGATGTCCTGTAGGATCCTCAGGCTCCTTCCAGCAGCACAAGTCCCAGCCAAGAGCCACATCCTTGTAGGTGGGATGCAAAGCAGTGCACGCTGAGTGCCAAACCCGTGAGGTGTTGATGTGATGAAGGGTCAAACGCTGCAGCATCTGCCAAGTAATGGTTACTCAAAGCAGTCTGAAAGGTTGTTTTGTTCTGCTCTGGACCTCAGGGTTCTGTAATTGAGGGAAAACCCACCTGAGTGCCCTCTGTTAATGCCTTTGCTGTGCTACCAGCAGCTGCACGCATCTCTCTGGATGGAGGAGCCTGCATGACACTGAACCATGTGGTGATGGAACACCAGGAGCCCCTGTGCCCTGCTGGGGATGAGCGGTGCCATGGATGCAGGAAGCGCCAGTTCACATCACACCACTCTGCAGCACTACCAGGGCTCTCTGCTCTGACTTTAGAACAAAACCAGCTCAGATTAATGCTTGTAAAGAGGGAAATACCATGTCAGGAGGATTGAAAGGGCTCCTCTGGGCAATGTCTTTCTGCAGCGGGGACAAAAGCCAGCAAATCAAGCACCTCTATTTACTCTTCTTCCATCTGTTCCTTTACTTGACCAGTGAACCTCCAAGGACGGGCTCAGTGCTGCTGAAGGCAGCAGCTCCACTCACCCCCGACCTCCTGACCTGAGCAGATGCTTCAGGGAACAAAGCACCACAGCCCCAGGGGGTCGGTTCCACTTTCCCATCATCTCAAACTTCCGAGAGCTTCAGGGTGCCCAGAAGCATTGCTTTTCATAACTGCTGCAAAATGAGGTGTCTCATTGCTATTCAGAGAGAAATCTCTAAAGCAGAGAAACCCCTCGCTATCAGTCATCACTTATCAACACCAAAAGTAGTCACTTCACCTCTTTCCTGATAGGGTTGCTTTGTTTGGTCTCTTCTGAGTTGTTTTATTTATGATGAAGAGTGTACGTGGGTAGAAATATTCCAGTGACACACAGCAGAACTGAAGGCAGCTCTACAGTCACAGCACCACAAGGCAGAGGCAATGAGTTGCACATTGAACTGCCTCCTTCGTGATGTTTTAACTCCCATGTCACTTTGCTTCCCAAAACCCAACAGGAGTGCCTATTATAGGTTTTCCTTTCCAGGAACAGCCAGTTCCTCTCACCAGATGTATCAACGTGAATATTTCAGAAAACAGTCTTGTTTTCACTTTCTGGGCTTCCCAAGCTGTGTTTTCTTTGCCTCTTCTTGTAAACCCAGCTCATTCCAAGATGACTGAAGGTTGCTCTCATTTCTTGGGGGCACATCCTGAAGCAGTTCCTGCTGCTGCTGCCTGCAGTGCTGGAGGCAGCCCCGTGCTGGGGAGCCATGGGCAGGGACCACAAGAAAGCAACAACAAACCCAGGCTGACTCCAACCCAATTCCACCTACAAACGCAGGCGCATCTCAGAGCGTGTCAGTGTGGTCCTTTAAGTCCAGGCACAGACAGCAACCCTTCACCAAGATGATCCAGCTGCTCAAATGCAAGAGAAGGAACACAGGACTCTGTTCAGAGGCACTGAAGTTTTAACACAGCCCCATCTCAGTAACACCGCAGCATTTCTGGATAGAAGTGGTCTCCAAAACGAAACCAACCCCCCGGTGGTGGGGAACAGAAACAGCTGGAAATCTATTCTGACTGTGGAAAAGGTAACGACTGCACCACGTTCTGATCGAGCACTTCGGTGACCACCGCTCCCTTTCCCGTGCTGTGGTTTCCCCCCAGTGGCACCAGCAGCAAGCTGCAGCTCTCCACAGGGGCTGAACCATCACCAAATCGCTCCTCGCTGCTTCCAGCTTCACTCAGCTCCAGGGCTTCCTGCCTCCTTAAACTGCAAACCCAGAACGGGGATGATGATCCAGCTGTGCAGGTTGGGGTGTCCCTTGAGGAGAAACCAGATGGCCCCAAAGCTGCAGAGCAACACAGCAGTGCTGGGTGCTTTGCTTTGCCAGAGAGCATTTGGGGTTTTTACTCCCATAATACAACAGCTTTTGTTACACCTGTTAAGAACAAAATCCTTTTAAAGGACAGGAGTTTAACATCAGTGCCTGCTTGACACCATCCCTCCAAATCTTTTCCTTTTCACCATACTTATAGAAATCGAATCAATGTCACCACAGGAACCTCAGAACCAATCAGCAAATGGTAAGAATGACAGAAACGAGCAAAGGATTATAAATATTCCAATGCCAAAAACCCCACAGCACAGAACTCTCCACATACTCCTACCAGGCCCACTGCCACTCCAGCTCTTGTTTCTGTGTCTGGCAAAAAAAAAAATACAGCCCAACCAATGCATAAAAATGTTTTTATTTATGGTTCAGTTAAGAGACCCGACTGATGACTTAGAGCTGATTTAAGTTGACCCCTTATTCCCACTACTTACAGAGAGTGGAAGTATTGAGGAGCTTTTTTTTTTTTTTTAATCCATTCCACTTCATTTATTTTCAAGATTGGAATCAATCAGATCCTTCTTCTTGGAAGACAACCATCAAATAACACTGACACAACAGGAGTGCCAGTGCTGGGCAAAATACAAAGCCTCCTGAGAAGCACATTTCCAAAAATCCCTGCTCTGTGGATGACACTGGGGTGCACAGCAGGCATGGGCAGCATCTCTGCTCACTGTCCAACCACTTGATTTTGTTTGAAGGAAAGCCCTCCTTTCGGTATCTTCTGCTATTGGAGACAACAGCTACCAAACACCAAAAGAACATGAACTGCTCCTCCAAGAACACTGATGGGGCCTGCAGGGCTGTGTCTGGCCTGGTAACACAGCCAGCTCCACTCCAACATGTAACTGTTGTAGGGCTTTTCCAGGAATGGATATTACCTGAAGGGCCAGGTGATGACAGCCTCTTCCAGGATATGCAATCAGGCTTAAGTCAATATAAAATTCACAGGACACAGTAAATAAATTCACCATCTTCATCCCAACAGAGGACAATGCTGCTTTGTCTTCTGCCAGCAGTGCACACCTGACCTTTCACACTCAATTGATTCGCACAACAAAATGACACTCTTGGTGCACAGCCATGTTTTCACCAGCATCAAGGAGCAGAGATCTTTAGAAGAACCTTCCTCCTGCTTCCTGTCAGCTCAGGTCAGAGCACAGGAGCCTGATTTCTGCTGACATGAAGCACTTGCCTTTCTGGCAGTGAGACCATTACCAGAAATAAGCTCGAACCAAGCGCTTCTTCTTCACATCACAGCAGCATTCTGGGCACTTCTTCATCTACAAAAACAGATGAAGAAAACGTATTGATTACATATAAACTTTCTCTTCCAAGTTTGCAATGGTCTGATATGAAATATAACCAACGCTTTCATTTCATTGCTCTTAAGATATCTTGCCTACTGTTTTTAGATGTGGAGTTAGCATGCAACCGCTGCTTTAACTGCTAGCAATGCATAGAGGAAAGCAAAAAGGCTGCTTGGTGAAGTAGCAACAAGTTTCAGAGCAGTTGTCTCACACTTACAGCTATGGCACACCTAGAAGAGGAAGGAACGAGGAAACAGAACACGATTCAAGAACTTGCAAGAGCTGCTGTGAAGTACAGAAGTGCTGGTTGGCAAAGTGCTGTAAGGTCACCAAGGAGTTCTGTGAACTTCCTCAGGCACAGACGAGAAGGAAGTGGGCACAGCAGGAAATCAGTGGCACACGTGGCCAGGACCAGGATTCCTCCAGAGGTACAGAGCACATTCATTTCTTCATCCCACCACACACCTTCCCAGGTATCCAGCAGAAGGTGGCACGTGATGCACTTGTTTCTCAACCCAGGTTTCAGGATGCTTCTCAACTTACGTTTAGAAAACCCTGCCTATGACCTTCCCTTGTATGTTACTGTTGTAACACAAAGCATGGACTATAAAGTAGGTTAGGGCAGTTTATTTCAATGCTAGAAAACAAAATACTCTAAATGGAGGGAGAGAAGAAACTCATTTTACCTCCCTGTACACACTGCTTTGTCAAGTAACTCCCCAAATTTTAAGTGTAACATATAATTGTGAAACTTTAATTCCACCACAGTACATCTAAATAGCACAGAGAACAACTTCCAGTTTCTCTGGAATGCCTACAAGAAGGGCACAAAGGAACAAGGTATTTAAATACTGAAAAGAGCAATGGACCTCTGCACAGAAAACTACAACCAAAGGCAGCATACATAATGTGCTCCATGCAATGCCTTCCCACACGTGGGCAGCCCTCACCTCACCCAGCACTGATCTCTCTAATATCACACAGCTGCAGGGAATTCTGACTGCTCTTCCAAAAGTTTCAGAAACATTCCAATATTATTCAGACTCTCTGCAGAACGAAGCCGTTTCAGCGACGCAAGAAATTGGAAGGGACACAATTTGCAAACCTGAAGTCACTGAGTCTTTAACAAGGCTGTTAGTCACTTCCTCAAGTAGGACAGCATACACCGAGCTGAATTTGAACTGAAGAAATACAGTGTGAGTAACTTGGCCTAGATGAGTCTTCAAATCCAACCTCATCAGTAGCAACAAACCCCTGACGCCATCTGATGAGAGCTCAGACAACAGCTACTGCCATCAGTGGGGGGAACTGCCCACAGCATGAACCAGAGCAGGGACTGTAATGGGGTGGAAGCATCACTGGTGGTTCCTCTGAGGTTGGTTATAGAGGAACGTGGGATATTTGCAGACAGCTTGTTTGCAAACCTGTGCTCTCCAGCAAGACATCTTTCCCTCACTTCTGTATGAAGAGCAGGAAACATGCTTCTGTCCCATCACCTGGAGAAGTCTTCCTGCAGTCCTAAAGCAATACCCCAAACAGCTGAATATCTGCCTTGTCAATAGCATTGCTGTACTCTGAGAGCCATTCATCACTAGAAAGATGTGTCACAAGTGAGAAAGTGACAAGAGCTTCATGCTGTCAGTGACAAGAAAGCAACAAGAGCTTCATGCTCTATACGAAGGGCAAAGAACAACGCTCACACTGAACTTTGAGGGGTGCTTGACTACAGAACAAACAGGCAGCTAATGAGAAGATGCTTCTTACATCCTTTACATAACAGCTTGTTGTTGAGAGCAAAAAAGAGATCCTTAGAAATACAGATTTTAAGTTGTCTACAGAGGAGACAGATGGATCCAACTATTGATGCATGCAGAAAGACCAAAGCTCCAAAGGTGCACTTCTGAAGGACAGGATGTCCACGGTGAGTTCTGAGGACTTTGTGTTTGTCCCTTTTAAACAAGCAGGACATTGAAATGAACTACCAAGAAACAGGTCAAAATGACAGCAAAGAAAGGAGCCAGTTCTTCACGTAACATGCGACCAAGTTGTGGAAGCGCCTGCTATAGGACACGAATGACAAAAGGTCACAGGAATTCCTGTCCTGCAAATGGTTTCAGGTTTGTGAGGACATTCACAGGAATGTGTCACATTCACATATTCTCCTCCAGCCATAATTTTTTGGCTGTTGTCAGAGACAGGATGCTGGACTGGATGCACCTTTACTCTGACTCAGTACGTCTGCTATCGTACTCCTATGGTTTACTCACGTTAATTTCCAGCCTCAAAGGTGTGCAATCACTAAAGGGTGATTAAAGAAAGCTGAAGCTGAGCAAGTTCTGGGATTTACCTATGAGCTATCAAAATGCACGTCAATATGAGGACTGACAAGAAAACCAGACCTCAGAATCACCAAATTCCCCAAGATGAATACCACAGCACAATGGTACTAATTGCTTAATATACCACAGCTCTTCACAGTTGGGCCAATTCCTAAGCTGACATAACCATAATTGCAAGCTATGTCTTACTGGCAAAAGGAACGAGTTCTTCCCCAGGCGTGTACAAGATTTTTATGGGCTGAGGCAATGCAACAATCTCCCTTATTTCTAAGAATGGGGTCATAAAATGCCTGCCTAACCAACAAGCTCCCCAGGGGTCTCATTCTATTCAACAGACAGCTTATAAATTACAGTACAGATTATAAATGCATGCTAGTAATTCTTGGATTCACTCTTTATTACCACAGAACGACTTGGGTTGGAGGGGACCCCTAAAGGCCATCTGATCCAACCCTCTGCAGTGAGCAGGGGCACCCACGGCTCCATCAGTGCCCACAGCCCCCCAGCCTGACCTGAGTGCCTGCAGGGATGGGGCACCCACCTCACCTCTGGGCAGCCTGTGCTACTGCTTCCCTGCTCTTACCGTAAAGAACTTTTTCCTTTTACGCAATCTAAATCTCCCCTCTTTTGGGTTGAAATAATTCCCTCTTGTTAGAGAGGAAAGCATTTGAAGGAAGCTGAGAAGAGTTCTGCCTTCAGTCACACTCCAGAACATGGAAAATAAAGATAGCAGAGGAAACGTTCAAGTGATAAACTTAAAATGAGTGTTGGATTTTCTCTCTGTCAACAGAAGAATTTGATTTCCAGGGCTGTTCATGTGGTTCTCCTGAAAAGCACAGAAATCCCCATCAGTTTCAGGAAAAAGTGAAACTAATAAACAAGGTAACCTTTAAGAACTGTTCCCAACATGTTTTGCAGCAAGTGAAGATGCACAGTGGGCATTTTAAGGGTACATCATCCTCAGATTTGCAGTTAGGACATTGGTATCTTCCTACAGTGCAGAGGGGGAGAGAGGAAGAGAGAGAAAGGAAATTACTAAGTTCCATTGACCACCTGTGAAGTTCTCATGCATACACACTTCCACCACTGCAATCTAGAAACCAGTGACCACGAGTTCTATAAAATTCTTTTACCTTGATGCAGCACAGGGCCCTGTTGTATTACTTGTATGACCTCAACTAGATTTCTTGGTGCTTCAAATTCCCGTTTAGAATGAGAATTTACATCCTTGCTTTACAAGGAAGTTGTTGAGAAAAACCTGTTCCCAGGAAACTATTACATCACTGTGATAAAGATAATGAAGTACTTGGATGGAACAGATGCAGGTAGCAGTATAAATTCTACTCTGCAATCCATACTACACATTATTGCACCTGTGCAAATACAGGCAGGAAACAACCACAATTTAACAGAGCATCAGCATAATCCTCAGTTCTACATTTGTTTATTCCCACAAATAACAGAATCACATCTGCAAAGCTCACCTATACCTACCAAACTCTGGATCCAATTCCAGTGGTAAGCTGGGCACAACTCCAGGAGCTGTGGGTGCTCTCACGTGACTCATTTCTTTAGATACTTCAGCCTTTGGTAATTCAAGTTTGCATTTCTGGCTGAGGCACGAGGAAGAAGTCTCTCCCCCATTTCTTTCTGGAACCTCACTCTTAGGAACATCTCCATCTGACCATGAAAACAATAGCACACAGTACAGTAAAACACAAAAACACAATTCACAGCAAGTTCAGTAAGTTCTCATTATACAAGAACAAATGAATTTGAATAACTTCTTTTGACCCCTGAAGTTTCTGGTACTTCACACACAACATCATTACTGAAAGAGGCTCTTTGTGGTGAAATAGTTCCATGGTGAACTATTCTTAGAGGATCCTGATTCGCTCTTGCCCCTCCTAGGTGCAAAAAATTCCACCTTCAGTCATAACACATTTCACAGTTGGCCCTACAACGGATTTTCTCCTTGTTTCCTCATGCTTCCCATCTCCCACTGCCTTCCAGCCTATGCTTGTTTTGTTGGTGTTTTTTTTAACATGACTTGGAGGTGGCCAATTGCTTTGACCTTCCTTTACATATCATTGCATACCACAGCCAAAGCTGTCAGACACTGCTTATCTTAACACTCAACAGGAGCCTAAGCTTCAGAGATACGTTCCTCCTCACCTTGGTTAGGGCACTTTGCTCTTTTAGTCAACCACCTCTCCAGAGTTGCAGCACTTTTTTCGTTCTGCATCTGCTGTTTCTGTTCATCACCACCAACTGTTCCAGTCAGATCTTTACACACCTGCCTGAACTGCTCCTTGTGATGCGGCCGCACAAACATGGTAAACCCTGCCAAAAGGAAAGGCAGTGAATGCATAGGGCAGTAAATGGCTGACTATGAAAGAGTGGTTATCTTGGAGGGAGGTAATTCTCTGGAAGATGAGCAAAATCATCCATAGTCCTCAGAGTATCTTCAGGCTTTTTGCTGTGTTTAAGAATCACCAAGTTTTCCTTGCTAGAAGACAGATGAGTATTTAACACCAAAAACAATCTCAGCTTACTGGGAACTAACAACTTAGCACTGCTATAGCTAGCCATGAGACCTGCAGGAGTCAGGAGAGCAACATTCAGCAAGTGCAACAGTCAGCACTGCCTTGTCTAAGAACAACTACTTGTAACATAATTGAGGAAGGAAAAAAAAGTAATGAACTCAGCTGACTGAAATCAGTTTGACTGAAGGTTTAGACTGGAATTACTGAATTTTACTCAATTTTTTTTTTTGCTTGAAGAGTTCCCAACTGAACAGAGGTAACCTTTCAACCTCAGGCTTTTTTTGCTCTCTGTAGTGTTCTCTTACTACAGCATTCCTGCTACTCCATTTATCTGGTTTGCCAGAGTAAAAGATGGAAGAGGGGATGTTCAGCAATGCTCCCAGCAGTGGAGAATTTGTAAGCTAACTACTGAGCAGGGAAAGGTTATTCCTCACACAGGATCACAGCACTGACATATTTTTTCTCAACCGATTAAAAAAGGCTTTAAAACAACCCTTACTTTGCAGGAGATGAAAGTCTTCGGGCCTCTCCGTGGTGAGGGCTGCCACCACTGGTATCATAGCATCGTAGTCATCCGTCCTCTTGTAAGCCAGCAGCGCCTCGTGGAAGCGGCTGTAGGCGCTTTCCTTCAAAGCCTTTTTCACATCATTGAGGTAGGTCACCCTGAGGACCTGGTGCTGATCTCTCCTTGAGCCTGAGGCATTTTTCGTGTCTTTACTCACAGCTTGACTGGTGTTACCCCCTGAGAGGCAAAGAATACAGATGAGCAGTCCTCTGTGCTCATTTCTCCTCCTTCAGAGAGGGCTTCCTAAACCACTTCAAACCACTGCAGCTTGCAGTCACACTCCCTGCTCAGACATGACTTTGGTGCTCCTGGCAATGCCAACTGAGCAAATTAATTTTGGGGAACCTCGTTAGCACCTCTGGGAGTTTAAAACCTCTGAAATGGAGCAGTGTGTGAGATGGTCACTGAGGAATGAGAAATAGGTAACACAGAAGTGACTGTGCACAGAGGTCAGCAGCAAATCAGGTTTCGTGCTACCCTTTAAAAGAGCACAAGCATTATCAATAGATGGCTTACCCAACTACACGGCCTGATACACAAGCAAGTAAACCTGAGTGCAATTTTAAAGATATTTCTTTTTCTTATACCAGAAGGAGGTGTCCTTTTTCAGCCCCAATAGGAAAGCAAAAAGCCAAAAGAGACTAACCCACCCAAAATAAGCAACTAGATAGATGGTGCAGTGAGACAGCACCAGAGAAGACTGGTGTAGCAAAGAACATCTTGCTAAACTCCAAATGGGCTTCTTTTCAAAATGTCAGTGTCTTGTTGCTGGCAGGTTTTAGCATATTAGAAATATGTTTTGCATATTAGAGGTATGTAAACGCAGGTAAAACACGTAATAAGCTGATTTAAATTAACCAACCACATGTTTTGGTATTTAAATCTTTATCCTTCACAGAGATAATGAGCTTCTAAAAGATGGACTTACTTCAACTTTGGGAAAGGGGGAAAAGATGGGTGTGAGTTTTCTCTTTGGCAGCTTCTCACAGGAGCAGATCCTACCCAGGGTGTGAGTCACAGGAATGCTACATACATTTATTCCTGTTATTTTCTTAATTGCTTTGAACAGAACCAAACTGCTGTGCAGATCAATCTCACAGATCTCGGGGAAAAAAATTACCAAAGATTATTTCATGCCAGAGTTCTTAAAATCCAAAATAAACCAGGAAATTCAACAAAAGAAATAACGTGGCCTCACAGATGAAAAGCTTTCAAAGCCTTCCAGGAATCGTTGCCTTTCTATTTTATTTTTTGTATTTAAGAAGAAAGGATTAGTCTGAGTATTCTTTACCCTCTTAAGACAGACATCTAAGCTGCCCAACTAATTTCCTTGTAAGAAACACAGAAAATTCCCAGCTGTTCTCAGGAAGATCAGTAATCACAACAGAACTGAGCCTTTGACTGCAAGGGTAAATATTGGACAGTAGGAGACTAGAAGGACACAGGTAGAGATAATGTGTAATTGTGAGAATATGTTTACTGGTCCCTGTTTCTGCAGAAAACACACTGCCCACACTAGGATTGTATGCAATCCTCATAACAAAACAGGAACTGCATTTTGCTTTATACCTAAATTCAATCTGACCTCATCTAAAATTACATTCTCCAAACATCTCCTGTTCACAAACCCTGGGCAAACAGGACACGCAGCAGTCTTGTCAACTCACCCTCTCCCTCACTGAGAGGCACAGGTCAACATCCAGTGCAAACTTCTGTCTTTCGTTGGCACCTTTCATATCCACCTTGATATGTGACTAACTGGTGTTTGTGCTGCACAATCCTTGCTGAAAATTCTCAGCTACCCTCACTCCTACCTACAGTGAGCTGCTGCTGGTCCACTGTGCCAGGTGAATACAGGAGACACTGGTTCCCCTTGGGAGAATTTACAAAGATTTACAAACAAAACATAACATGCAATACCTTAGGACTGTGATTTTACTTAACACGAAGCATACCTGCACTGGTCTGTCCTGTTGTCAAGTGAAATCCTCCCTGGTTCAAGTGGAGCCCAGCATTCAGCTGAGTGCATGAGTTCTCTGAGAAGGTTGTTTTCTGTCGACTCTCTTTTTCTTCTGTTAAAACAAACCAGTTTGTTAGCAGCGAAGGAAGAATGAAAACAGAATGATGTATTGCAAACCTTGTCACCCCATGATGAAAACACTTAAAGTAAATGTATTTCTTTGTTTTGAGGGGATGAACCAACACCCTGCTCCTTTAGCATCTTACTGCTCCGGGATTTCAAAGACTGCACCAGCTGTTCACAGTTCTTGTGGCACTTTGGGGGCTGCAAAGCAGCCAGAGGAATGCACACAGTTTTGAAATCCACTGATTAGGTTTGAGATACAAACATCAGTAAAGCATCCTTTCAAAAAAAGGATGGCACCATTAGTACCAATGCAGCAGCCAAAGTGCAGGCATCTGTGCATGCTTGTGGCATGGCAGGCAGGAGGAGCATACAACACACAGATGGAGCTTCATTTTGAGTCACCAAATTTCCTTTTCACCCTTGCATTTCCACACACTTCATCTCGTTCTATGATTAGACAACCTCTAAAGTTCCTCACCTATTTTCTTTGCCAGTCCTTCCCTCTCTTCCAGCAGGAGGCTGTGCTCAGGTTTGTACCCACAGCCCACCCCAGTCAGATTGCAACATGCTTCATCAAACTGTTTCTTATGGTGAGGTCGAACAAACTGGTAAAATTCTTTCATTAGAGAAAGGGAAGAAGAATAAATCAATCAAACAAGAAAAACAAAAATCAGTCCACAACATGTAAAAAATGCTACAGAAGTTTATGATGGTAGGACTTCTGGGTTAGTGCAGTTAAATAGCTTAAAGCCCAAATGTTGTTCTTTAGAATTTACGTAAGTACACTTCAGAACAACACTGAGTGAAGTTACAGAGCAATCTGCCAGCAAAGCTGGAGCTAATAACTGTAATTTTTCCACTGTAAACAGGAAGCAATTTACACATCATCTCACTTCACTGTAAAATGCCTACGAACCAAAACCTAAACCACACTGCAAGTCAAATGAACTTCTAAAGCTGCAGGCACACAAAGCATGAAAACTACAAGTTGCCTATTAGCTGAATGTGGCAATCTAGTGTTCTCTTATTTGTAGAGCAAGCAAGGCAAATTGGGAGAGAGATTGCAGCTATTATTCCCAAGTGCTCGTATTCCCACTCCTTAGCCTTGCATACAGCCTTACTCATGTTGTAAATTGCATAACTATGCTTTTATTTTTGGCAGACGAAAGAAGTGACAGAAAAATCTGCCCCTCTGCTCATATGCACAATAAACAACCAGTGACATCTTCAGATTCTCCTGCCCTCGTGAAGCAGAGCCTACCTAAGACACAAAGTCATGCCGTATAAACACAGCAGGGAACTCATCGTACCTCGCAACAAGACATGCTTTTCCTCATCCTCTGTAAAAAGGGAACTCATTTGAGACAACATAGTGTTGAAGTCAGCTGTGCTCCTGTAGCTCTGAAGAGCCTCAGAGAAGAGATTGTAGTTTTGCTGGCTTAGGGTCTTCTTCACTGTTGCAATGTATAAGGTCGCTCGGGCTTTCTTTGGCTCCGTTGGATCTGCTGCCTTGTTGGCCAGCTGAGAAGACAGGAAGGTTTTTCAGTAGACAGGATGAGGAGAGGAGCTATGCTCATGGGAATGGAGATGAAGTTCACGTTTACAGTCCTGCAGCATTCCTCAAACATTTGAGACTTTCAGGAGGCAGAAGGTATCTTTAAACACAGAGTAGTGGCTTGGACTGCACACAGAACAGTGCAATGCTCTCACGTAATGTGTGACTCTTGTAATAAAGGCAGCAACACAAGAAAAGCAAATATCCACATTCAAAGGATGGAAGGTGGTCATGTATTTCAGTTCCTCTAACACAGAAAATCTAGACCACTCTCTAGTTTTGGGAAACATTTATGCTCCATAATCACAAACAGCAGGAACTTGAAAAAGATTCAGAATGAACCCTCCTTTATGAAAGTGCAGATCACAATGTTCTTACTCAGTTTCAACATGTGTAACTGTGACCCTTGTCACGCATTTTCAAGTCATAGGGCAATCTTCTGAGGCATAAGTATACTACTAATTTCCCCAGATGATTATCTTATCTATTCTTAAAACATTGTTCCTAACATCTGTATCTGCTCTCCTGTGAAAGAAAAGCAATGATATTCATCTTCTCTGCTGACAAAACTGACTGCTTCAGAGGAGCATCTCCCAGAGAAGGTAGCCAAGTTTCATTTCACAATTCTATCCTTAGGATAAGGCTTATTAAGAGAAATGAGACCAGCTGCAACTTTCAGGGCCAGGCTGATTCATCATAACAACAAAAATGTAAATACAACCTTCTGCAATGAACCTGTTCCCTTCCTCACACCTTGGATATCAGCACATCAGCATCTGTGACTACTCTATTAGTTCTGGATGCCAAGAGGCTGGCAGACTCTGGCAGAGACAGAACCCAGCTGGACAGCATCTTCAGTGACTACTGGCACCCACAATCACTTGGGATCCCCATGAATTCATCACAGCTCTCAGGCAATAAGCTGCATTAGGATTTTTACCATGTTTTCCTCCACCCTCTTAGGAGACAACATAAAAATATACAACTGCTAACAGGATGCACATCAATGCACAACAGGGGGAGAGGGGGGGGTCACAATGTCATCACTGACCCAAACCAAGCAGGTCTGTTATATTATTTGAGGCTCTACTACCAATAGAGAAAGAACAAAACACACAGGGTGAATAATGAGGTGATGTTAGCAACGTAGTTACAATCAAAGAACAATGCTTTGCACCTAACTCCACCTGAACCTTTGTGCTTGACTGGACTTGCGATGCCTAAATCTGAGAAAGAGCATGTCAGAAACAGATTTCAGATGGGCACTCATGAATATTTATGATTTAGAAAAAAAACTACATTTGTTTTGGCATCAGCATCAGTCCATGTCAGTCATCTGCCTGCCTGGAAGTTTTCAATTCAAATTACAGCATTCTACATATCAAAAGGGTGACAGAGACACAAGAAAACACGTACTGGATTGCTGACCAGCTTTATTTTCTTCCTTCCTCCTTTCTGCTCATCTGTTAACCTCTTCTCATACTGAAGGGAAAGCGTTGACAGACGTTGTGCCTACAAAGATTAATTAAAAATAAACAAAAAGCTCTCCAAAATGCTTTTCAAAGTTGTAATCCACTTAATTTAGCCATTTTTCCAGTAGCAAAGCTTGTTAATCCAGCTTGTGACACCACTCAAAGTGAAGCAAAGCAACCTAAATTATTGCAAAGGGAACTATGGCACTTACCTCCTTCTGGAAAGTAATGATCTACTGCACATTTCAGAAAGACAGAACCAAGCAGAGGAAATCAGAGTAGATTCCTGATGAAGCAAAGCTAGGCTTACAGCTAACTGTTTCAGAGTAGGCCTGGGGGGTACACAGGTGTGGAACTGATGTCTCACACAGCCCTCACTTTCATGCCTGAAGTACTTCTCACTGAAGAAACTGTCACAACTTCTCCTGGGATATTGAGAAGCCCAAGCAGCCTCATAGGGAATATCAGGTCAGATGGGAGGAGACAGTATTAGAAACTCCTGTGGTTCAACAGGTTCTCTTGCGTTCCCCATTTCCAGTAACAGTTGCACTTGTACAACTGTGAGTGGGAACACTGGCAGGCACAAAGCTCCAAAAGCTAAGTGCATGGCCATAAGCAACAGGTTGCTTAACAGCAGCCTCCAACACTAGCATAAGTCAGTATCAACCACATTGCAAGCATTCATCTGAGTAACAGATGAAGCAGTGGGATAGGCCCATATTGCCCACTGATTTCTACACACCTGTTGAGAAAGCAGGTACTTCAAGTGATTTATTTCTTTGCTCTTGCCCAATAAAGAATTTCTTAATGAGTATGTGACTATCGGTCCATTTTCAGAATAGCATGGTTTAATTTCTGAGAAGAACCAGTGAACAACTGTTCACAGAATCACCAGGTTGGAAACGACCTGCAAGATCATCCAGTCCAACCTCCCTCCCATTCCTATCAGTACCACAAGCACTAAACCACATCTCGTAGCTCCTCATCCAGGTGCCTCTTGAACACAACCAGGGACGGCGACTCCACCACCTCCCTGGGCAGCCATTGCAGTGCCTGACCACCCTCTGAGAGAAAAAGTTTCTCCTAATATCCAACCTAAACCTCCTCTGGTACAACTTCTGGCCGTTTCCTCGGGTCCTGCTATTTGCCTGGGAGAAGAGGCCAGACCCTTTTGCACCACAGCCTCCCTTCAGGAAGTTGCACAGTGCAATGAGGTCTCCACTGAGCCTCCTCTTCTCCACACTGAACTGTATTCCACTGTGGCTTCCAAATGTTTGTTCAGATCATAAAGCTTCAGAGACAAACTAAATTAATCACACATTAAGCAATAAAAAACAAACTAAGCACCAGGCCAGTAGATTTGCCAGCTGCTGATAGTCAGAAATAGAGCCTTCAGTGCACTCATAACACTGCAAGGAGAGTGAATTCCAGACATATCTGAGCAATAGAAGTGTCCATTTAAATATATTCCACTTAAGTGTCATGTAACAGAATGAACAACTGGAATACAAGCTGCAAGTCGAACAGGCATGATACATTGCAGTAAGTCAGAAGAAGGTCCAGAAATACCTATGCATTCTAATCCCAGACTGCCTATGAGCAAAATGTTTAATAGCACGATGGAGAAGACATAAGGCCTCCACAAAGTATTTCTCACAAGGAAAAAACAAACTCAAGTCATTCTTTCAGTGGACTGAGATACTACGTCTTGTATTTCGATTTTTTATTTGAGATGACAAAGATTTGTTTCCTTAGAGAGAAATGTTCAGCCTAATAAAATCATTTCAGAATGACAGCAGCTTAATTTCAACATGCAGGGTGCAGGGGTACTGTGTAACTTTAACAGAAGATAAAAAGAATAATACAGCTCCCATGATGGATGGTGAGTAAAGCTCTGAAAGCACACAAACTGTACAAGCAGTCCAAATGCAGTGGTCAGTAAAGAGCGCAACGCTCAACTTGTGCAGTGCTTCTGAAGGAGCCAGAGTTCAGCTACATCTCACTGCCACTTTTGGTGCAGCACAGGATGACCACAGCCTTCTGCAAGCCACAAGCAAACAGTAACACTGTACAGGAAGATGGACACGAGCTGACTCACTGTCAAGTCATCGAGACCACCGGCTTACTTGACTTGAGGAAATCCCAAGCTAGACCAAAAGCAGTGCAGCTGTGTAACAGGACACTCTTCCCAGGGTGACAAAGCCCCAGGAGATGTGCTGGGCTTTCCAAAGAATGAGCTCAGACATCCTTACCATGCCATGACTAAAGTGCCCGTGGATGATGGAGCTCATTTCTCATCAGCTACACACAGACAAAAACATTCTCTGTTTCTTCAAGCTCATACGTTCCCCATCTGTCACAAATCTATTCCCACTGATATCCCTTACAGCTTTTTAAATACTCCTTGGATATTCCTTACACACTCACGCGTTCCCTTAAGCACATTCCCCTAACAAACTGCTTAGCTAAGTTGTTCTAGATGTTTCCTGGAGTCTAGTCATCAGTCAAGCCTCACTTTTTTCTTTTTCTAAAGAGCTCTTTGCTCTCCAGCCTGCAGTTAGCTTCCAGAACCTACATGGTCAGCTGCTATGAAGAACAGTCCAAGTATGTACACACTGCTTATCTAATTGCATGTGTCTAGGAATCTCTTTGTTAAACTTAACTGTGAGCATCTGCTGATTCTAGCGCAATTAGTTTTTCCTCAAGAGGGCTGAACTGGTGCTACAAAATCAATGCCAAACTCATTTTGCTTCAGAGCCAACAATTTTTACTTATTACTTTGCTGCAGCATCGTCATTACCTTTTCCTCCCCTGGCAAACCATCATCTTCCTCCACCTCTTTGCTGTTCTTCTCACTGCGCTCCAACGCATCCAGAAGCCCAACACATTGTCTTCTACGTGAGATCATCTCTTGCTCATATTCTGTGCAGAGGCTGGATGCTCCACCTCCATTTACTGGCATTGCTGCACAAGGCAGATAATAAATTAACATTTTTGTGCTTTCTCTTGCATTTTCTTTGACTTAGCAATGCCTCAAAATTTGACTTAGCAATCCACAAAGATGGACAACAAAGACCTGTTGTTTTATCTCCTCTTCCACCTCTTGCAGAGCTGCTTTCTATGACTTAAGAAGAAGATTGCCTTGCTCAAACATTCCCAAAAACATCTCTCAAACATCTGTTATCACAATTTGATGCACAAATTTAAGTCAGGACTTTCCTCAAACTTCTCCTAAAGGAATATCATATTTAACGTCACAATGGCTTAGGATCAATGGAAAACAAAACCTCTACTGCCACAGTTGTCTGTGTTTGAGTGCTACAATTTATGGATCTCCCTACAAACAAACAAACATGAGCTCCTGCTCTTAAATGACTCACTCATTAAAAATAACAATGAAAACTTCTTAAAGAGAACATAAGAGATGCTAGGATCTCACAGTATTAGCAGCTATAAGACACAGCCACCACAGTGTACCAAGAATACATATTCTCACTCTTCAAAATCCACGTGCAACTGCTTTTAAATATAAGAATATGGATCCATCAGTGGTGTTTGCTACTTCAAAAAGGCTCTCTCTTCAAAATACATTTCCTCTACCTTGTAAAATGAGTTACATAGAGCTGTTTACTAAGAAAAGTAATTGTTTTGAGAATCTAAGCATCTTTAGCTACAAATCAAAAATGCACAAGTAGTAAGAAGCTGGTAGTCAAAGTTAGGATTACAAGTGTAGCTTGCTGTTACAGCTAAGAAGTGCCATCAAAAGCTTACACTGAAAGAGTTACATAATTAAGCTTTTCCCCTCTACCTTCACTTCAGTCATGTATTCCAACCCACCCTTCAGGATGGATCCACCACTCATGTGGATGAAAAGTTAACAGCTGAGCAAGCTCATCTGAATTGCTCTGCAGCAGCACAATAGATGGATTCAATGTAAATGCACAGATGGAAATTGAGGGAGAAAAAGGAGGTGGCCAAGACAACCTCTTTATAAAAAACAACCTGCAGTCAGACTGGCTTAGACTTAAAGTGAAGTCTCATCCTCAGACTCAGTCTCACACTTAGTCATAGCTTCTTTGGAATCAGTTTATGAACACACTTCATTGTGCAGCTCAGAAACGAAGCAAAACAGGCTGGAATGTTCTGAAAGAATCTCTGATGTGAGAAATATTTCATTATTTTGCATTAGCTAACCACAAACTTTAAAATACTGTTTTCTTTGAAGGCCAACACCCTCTTTCTGTTTTCTTACCCAGATCACTATGTAGGACTAACTAACTTCATCCAACTAAAGGATGGAAGGAGGACATATGAAAGCCAGTGCTAGTCAGAACAGAGTTTTTATTTACAGCTTTTGATTTTTGAAGAATGATATTCCACTAACTTCCCTGCAGGAGACGTTCTCATGCCACACCTTTGTTCTGCAGTTGCAATTGGTACTCTAATTTCCTAGCACCAAGCTATGTCCTTTCTGATCAAACTCTGACATTGTTCTTTGAGCCCTTTGCATTTTTCCCCTCCTATCCCAGTATCCAATCTCTTACTCTGTCCTTCCTGCTTTATCTTAAAACAACAGAAAGCGTATCTGTGAGGACATCAACCTACCTATCCTTTTCCTCTTCAAACTGGGAACGTGGTCATCCAAAATTTTGGCTTTCTGCAGGGAGAGGATCTGCTCAGATGAAGTAGAAGGTTCCACATCATTTTCACTCAGGGTAACAGCAGAGCCAGAAGGGCACTGTGCAGCAGGCAGGGGCATCTGCAAGCAGGTTACAAAACGTTACAGTAGGCAAAAGCTGCTCTTCCACTCCACTTCCTCTGCAACCAGAAATCCTGTCAATGGCCTGAAGACATCACATTTGTCCCAAAAACTCCTAACAGCAAGATTGTTTTAAGTGTTCTGGATTTTTGTGCTTTTGATGACAGGATCAAATAACTAGAAGTTGACACATCCAGATGAAGTGCAGCAAGCAGGATTAGCACTAAATGACTCTTAGAACAGAAAAGGCACACACCACTGTTTAAGAACAATTGCTTCCTAACAGCACTCCTGCACATCAACTCCTTCTGGCAAAGCACACTGGGTTGAGGTTCCTATTTACGATAAAACTCCTATTTATCATCAGGAAGGATCATCATGTCATCCAAAAGTCTGAAACTTATGATTTTGAACAACTCATATTTGGTCAAAGTATCTTCCAGGAAATTATTCAAGTCTGCTATGTTTATTTTAGTCCTAGTCTCCATTTGGAAGCCAAGGAATTTCCCATTCTGGCTCTCAGCCCATTTCTTGCTACGCCTTTCTCCAGCACATTACAAAGCCAAGGATTAATTTTTATATAAAGCAACTACTACTGAGAAAAAGAGCTTCTTAATGCAAAGAGAAACATATTATTAAAGATGACCCAGTCATGAAGCATAATAACTTCTGGGTCTGTCTCACTCTTTACATCAGTCAGCTTAGATCTACATTTAAGGGTTTGACTGATTTTTTTTTTGTTGTGCATAACCTCTCCCAGAGGGCCAGGAAGTTTTTTGATACTAACATCAGTTTCTGTATTTGTGTGCCATCCAGTGGAGACACTGTTTAGGAGTGACTGGAAAAGGAAGTTTCTTTTGTGATCTAACCTAATGAGTTGTGCAGAGACAACACATCCTGTCACAGCTCACTCACATACACTTCCTTTTCCACAAAGCTTCCAGTGATGCCCCAAAAGAAAGGTTGTTTAGAAGTGACTCCTTCACATCTCTCGCATCTTAGCATTTCTATCACTATTAAAAAGTTTTTAGTCTGTTTGCTTCTAAAAGATACTTGCAATTTCTTGAGCAACGCGGAAGAAGACTGAGACACTTCTGACTGCATGCCCAAAGTTGTCATAAACGTTCACGTAAGGGCGGACCCACGAAGGCAGCTTGCCTCTGACATTATCAGTTGTGAATCTATGTAGGAATAGAAAAGGAAATAATTATTTGCCAGATGGCCTAAATGAACTAAAGAAATGCTAGGACAAGGGAGGAACAGAAAGACAATGAAAGAGTGAAATAGTGCAGCAAATATAATAGACTGCACACAGGAGAAAAGGGCTTTGTTGTTATCATGTGTTATGCCATCACCCAATTAATATCATTCAACCATGACATCTGTAACTATGTAGTAGTACTGTTGGCCAACATCCCCTGCCAGGCCTCAGCATTGAAGGCTATCAGCTAAATTCCTGTTGCTTCAGCATTACAGTCTTTTCTCAGTTTCACCTTCAGAGCTGCAGTTCTGGTGGCCACCTTCTCAAATGAGAGATGGACAAGATATAAAACAAAGCTGGTAACAAATTACTTTTGCAAAGCAGTGCAATTATCTTACACATTCAATTACTTATTAATTGTAGCCTTCTCCAAACAGCAACACAAGCACACTTACAAAATACGAATAAATGTGTTGGGATACAAAGATGTTGATATAGGTTTATGCTCTAGAGCCCAGGTTTCACCTGTCATCACATAGGAAGATAGCACCATAGTCCTGGCGATGCCTGATGACCCTGCCAATAGCCTGGTTAACAGCTCGGGAAGCTTGCTGATTGTACCACTGATGCCCAGATAAATACTGCAATAAGGTGGGAGAAAGAGTTAATATCAGTCACCAGGTAAAAGATACTCATTGTGACACGCAGCCACTACTTATTTCTAAATCACTTAAAAATGTAGCAACAAAATCTTCTGAAAAAAATCCCTAAAAGCCTAGGAAAGCCAAATTCAGGTTGAATCAAGTATCACAGCTGGGACACGGAAAACTCAAGTGGTAATACACAACTTGAGGAGCTACTTAATAGATGATGCACTGGCTTCCTTGCTACTCAAACAGGCATTAAATAATACAGTGACCCTAAGAGCTAACCTGCAGGATAATAAGCTAAATTTATAATGCCATTCGTTATACCAAAAAGAAAATACCAATACCAAAATCCACCACACACAAACCAACCAGCACGTGCAGTTCTTCTCCTCACTCTCTTTCTGCAAGAAGAAATGCATGCAAAGACCTTGATCCAAATTTTAATGACACTGTTTTTTAAGCTCTATTTGATTGCAACCTTGTCAGTGGAGAAAGAATTTGGAACCCTTGACATTATCAGAAATATGTGAATATACCTGTGACAAACTCCTAAGGCTGTCTGACATTCACGAGGCTAGGAAGAAAAGCCAAAACCCAGAGACAAGAAAGGAAAAAGGCACAACAAACCTGCAGGCAGCCCAAAAGTTGTAGCTGCCCAACATTACCTGAGCACCCATACTACTTTTTTTCATCTCATTCAGGAACTGCATCTTCAAAACAACTCTGGGCTCCCAACGAGGAGGAAACGGAAGGCCGGTAATGATGACTCCTCGTCCATTCATGTCTGCAAAGTCCAAGCCTTCGCTGGCCTGAAGAGAGAGAAGGATTTTCATCATCAACAGGATGTGAACTGATATTTCAGAGAACTTAAGCAGTTGTTGGAATTTTTTCCTCCACTAAATTAAGTCCCCAGCCAAGTGGAGAGAGTGAATATATTGCAAACAGCTTCAGCAAGATTTTTTGCTTTTATTACTGTGACTTTAAATCTGGTATTTTCCTCTAGGAGACCCTGACAAATCATACCTCTGCCAGAACTATTGATTAATGTGTGTTTTATTCCTGGACAAGCAGAACAGCTGCATTCAGATGTCTCAAATGTCAGAACATCTCATTAACATTCCGTGCCTTTGTTAACAAGATGAAATAAGAACATGGCAAACTTTTGGTATTAAAGACAAACAAACAAAAAAAAAATCAAAGCAGTAATCAAAAGCTACCAAGAACCTGCTCAGAAAGCACAGACATTACCAGCTGTGAAGCTTATATCTTTACATCTGTCCAAGCAGCTGCCACTGACAGCCCTGTATCCACTTGTGTCCCATGCTGTGCTGGCAAACTAGTTTGTGAGATGAACAAAACCATCGAAAACATGCAAAAAAAGTTGATCTGTCTTGTAGTTTTCCCATTTCATTTACCATACTGCACAAACAGCTGCAATAGAATACATGGCAGGGATGAGTGGGTAAAATGACCAAGGGTACTCTGCTTAGAGCAGCACAGGAGGAGCAGCCACAGCGTGTCTTTGGCAACACAACTCTTGGTTTATTTTCTCAGATGTTTCCAATTTTGCATTCATACTATTAATCCTTCAAGTACAATAACCTAAATTGTCTGCTCTTCAATTATGTGCTACTGCAAAGCACTGTCTCTCCACAGATGCTACTCCTCTCAGAGTCATACACTGATGCTGGAAGGACAGGCATATTCACTAGAATCCTGCCCAGAAAGAGTTACATTTTTTCTTAATTGATCCAACAACGATTCTCAATGCACTGAAGGCTCAGAAGAAGATGAGTTTCCCTTGGTAGACAGTAGCAAAAAGTCTGAGTAATTTGCAACACTGCAAATACTTCCACTGGTATCATAAATCAATTTATCAACACTTCAATGAAAGGCCACCACATGCATCCAGAGGACTTGAAATTAATCTTCATCTTAAAAGTTGAGCAACGTTTCTGGTTCTAATCAGCGCCGTTCCAACATGCACAATTACAATTGTTTCTTTTAGTTCTCCTCCAAAATTGTTCTCATCTAATGAGTCAAGGTTTCTGTTTGTAGCCAACAGGAAATGTAAGTATCATGATGCTCATCCCCCTTAGAGAACTCTGAGATATCTCTCTTAAATAAAAACAGGAATTCAACCTACATACACTTGACATAAATTTTAAAAGGCTTCAGGGCATCCAACTCCCTCCACCTTCCCCCTCCCCTGACTATGGTTACACAACACAAACATCCTTGTTAAATTCAAAATGGTAAGTAATCTGATCACAGATAAAATAAATTCTCAGTTACATTACCTTCCCTCGACACACTGCCAAAAAAGCAGCACCGTTGGACTTGGGACAGGCAATTTTACCATAGTATGCATCTATTACCTAAAAGGTAAAACATGATTAATACAAATTTTGCTTAAACTATCTCCATAAATCTGGGCAAGTATAAAAGATTGACATCAGATACTTCTGAAAAGAAAGTAGACTCATGGACTGTCATTTCTCCAAATCCTTGAACAAAATACACAAACTAGGAGAGCAATTCAAGGATATTACCAACTCTTAGAAGCATGCAGAATGGCCATAGAAAAGCAAAAAGGAAAGAAACTGAAAATTTAAATAATTTAGTAGGCTACGATGGGACTTTGTATAATAACCAACAGCACATGATTCAGTGGCAAGCAGACAGCACTGTAACACTCACTGGATTTCATACGATGACTGAACCATGCACAGTTAGATGGAAGAGTAAAAGAAAACTGAATAGAAAACATAGTTCAAAGCAGCTCTGCAAACATTTTCATTTTATCCTAGGAACATGAAATTAACACAAGTTAATTAACACAAGTAATTAAGCACAACTTAGAGAGGTACTAAAACATCACAATAGCTTGCAGGTGTGCTGCAGGTATGTAGTGCAGATTCCCTACCTCTGCAAAGCTTCCTTTATTCCTGGGTTCCACAAACATTGGCTTCACTTCTTCTATTCTTTTAGCAAAATCATGCTCCTGTTGAACAGATAACGAACATATCAAATGCTCACATGAAAGCAAGCATCTACCAGAAATTCTCATGAGAAAGGATATGCTCAGACTTCCCCCACCATCTGCTCCTCTCCACGCAAAACACACAAAGACAGGGGCAGAAACATTTTCAATAAGCATGGTTAAATAGCATAACTGCAAACAGTCTGAAGTGTGCAACCAAACCACCTGTAAAGGGAAAACAATGAACTTACTCTCCAGTATTCCAGGCTTTTATCCATGACAGGATATGATGGGAAAAACACCAGCAGTCCGTGAGGTACAACTCGCACAAGATTACCTGCAACAAGATGGGCAAATGAATAGTTTAGGGCATTTTTCTCCTGGCGTGGATTGTAGAGACTGTGCAGGAAAAAATAAGCTAACAGCGTGGTTTATCTCCAAAATCTCTCCTGCATTCCCTTTAAATCCTTTCAATAATCCTATTGTCAAGCAAGAAACTCAAGACTTTGGTGCTGCTAATAGCACGTTTTATCCCATAAATGCTACGCTTCTGAAAAGCACTCATTGCATTACAGGTTTTCTAAAGTGTCACATTAACTGACTAAAACTTATTATGAGTATGCCAAGGAGTAGGAAAGGAAGAGACAACACCACCTGCTGCATTTTCCCATGTGACAGCAGGATCTATTTTCAGACCTGCTTTTCTTTTCCCTTGTTGTTTTCTCCATTCTCTATCCTTTGCAATTTCAACATTCAGAACAACAGATGAAGTACCTCAAGCCTGACTTTGAACCTTTACCTGCTGTAGAATATACCTCACTGAGAAATCATCCAGCTGTTATTTGGTGAAAGCATTTTTCTAAGTTCACCATGGAGGCCACGTGGAACAACTCAGAGCTCTCTCCCTCTTTTTGCTCTCTTCCTTCGAACCTCCATAGATTTGACTCCTTTCATACCACAGTCAGTCTGCACAGACACTTTGTCTTATTCTGTTCTCACACATCAAATTTCATAGTTCTACTATATTTGTAAAATATGAAAAAATAAAAGCTGAATTAAGATCAGCTTGACAAACTGCATTCACACACAGCACACGAAACTCTATCAGCTTCCTGTGATCCTTAATTGCTCTGCAAAGTGATGCTGGCAGAATAATCTCTGTGCATCTATTTTCTAGTCTGCACTGCTTTCTCACCACATGGAAGGATATTTGTGAACCAGAGATAAAGAGCTGACAATAAAACTGAACTCCTAGCATGGAAATATTAGATTAATCAAACTGATTTTCCTACATCACTACAGTAGCCAGCTGCTTGAGCTAACAGGACACATAAAAAAACAGTACTTAGTTACACAATGCAATCTTATGCCTTTCTGTCTTATCATGTGTTTCCTTTTAACATTTCAGAAGCCTTCCAAGTGATTTCTAAAAATGCTGTGCAGCAAACTGCTTTTGAAATCCATACCCTTCACTTACCAATGGTTTTCCCTAGAGAAGATAAATAGTCCTCTGAAAACCTACAAAGAAGAAAAAAAAAACCAAAACAGGTAACATTCACTCTACTTTCTTCTGTACATTTTTCATGCATATTGACTTCCCCTGACATTGATCTGAAATAGCACATTAGTATGCTCCCCAACACCCACACCAGGCAAAACTGTGACAAAGTGATACTATTACTACCACATCTGATCGCTGGCAGTCAGATGAGTTTATGATTAATACTAACATATCAGAAACACAAGTTCTGCAAGAAAAGTCCATAGATTAGCCTGAGAAGTCTGACTAACGTTACAACAATTTAAAATACAGCTAAACTAGGTGTGGTGAGGCTGCAGGGGCAAAAGGGGTGATCGTGGTTGCTATGTTATTGTTTACTGCAGGTATAAGCACAGTGAATCACTTCATTTGATTGAAAAAGTACTGCTCCACAATGAGCAGCTTTATCTGTTTCTTCCAGCCCTGACTGACATATCACCTGTGCTCTCACACCCTTATGATTCTTTCTTTTCAGTTCCATGCAGTTTCTCATAGTTTTCCCAGGAAGCTCAAATACAAGAAAAAAAAAATCCACATTTATGAGAGCTATGAATATCAGTATCACCAAACAGCTGCTGTCAAAACATAACTAACACTGTGCATTCCCTTTCTTCAAAATGCTGTTTTAGGCCAGAGGCAGGGAAATCCCCAGCCTTTCCGCCTTGAAAGATGTTACTTTCAACAAAATACATTGAAACCAAGCTTCCAAAAACAAGGAACATCATCTGAGGGCTTTCCAGGCTTCTTCATCTTCTCTGTCAAAATCATTTAGAATCGTTGAGCCCCTTTCCATTCCATGGAACACCTGGCACGAAGCTCATTCGTGAAGTAAAAACTGAGATCTGTTCTTGGATCGTTCTGTATTGCTGAACAAGGGTGGGCCAGCAAGCAGGCAACATTCTGTGATTCTCAGCTAGAGGTACAGAAATAATGCTGAAACTGGAAGAGCCAACATCAACAATGAGGAAGAAAACGTACATATACACAAGGATATCCTCATTTCAAAGCACCACAGAAGGACTGGGATCTAAAACAACAGTGGCACAAAGGCACTGGCACTCTTTAGTACCTTCAGAGAATTGGTAAGCACAGAAACATTTGTGAGGTGCAACACAGCATGAAAATGCCTCTTAAAATAATATGCTGAGATCTCATTGAGAACAACCTATTAGGGAACAAAAGTCTATATATAATGAACTTATGTGTTTTAGCAATCCTTGCTGGCACTACTTTTATCTCTTCTACAGAAAAAGCAGAAAGAATAAAAAGAGAAAAAAATATGAAAGACCAGAGAAAAGAAAGACAACTAAAGATTTGGATATGTTTTCCTTAAGAAGGCAACGCAGAGGTGAAAGGCAGGCCAACTGTGATGACAATCTTGGAGCACAAAGGTTTTTGTTACAAAGGCCAGGCATGTTTTGAGTCAACTGAGCTTCCAGCAAACTGAGGATGAGGGTCTGTGGCAGCACAGGCAGACTGCTCTGCAATGTGAAGGGAGGTGGGACCTGAGGATGACCTGAAGGAGGGGACCTGCCACATCAACAGAGTAAGCAAGTAGAAAAGACTCAGAGACAGCAGTCAGGTTCAACCATGAGTCCCAGACTGTCAGATAAAGTCATGGACAGGGATCAGTCAGCAAGTCAGGGTCAGATCAGTATGGCTGATGGCCAGGTGTGGTTACAACAGAGCTGGAGACACTTCTACAGCAAGTGCAACTCTTGAGCTCACTTCCCAGATGAAAAGGCTTCACCTCTGATCTGCGGGGGATTTCCCACGTGAGGCCAGTCAGGGGCACTAAGGGCTGTTACTGCACTCAGTGCCCTGATACTCACTTCCTTCCAGCCCTCTACTTCTCAACTTCCTACAGTAGTGGTTAAAAGGGTATTGTTATCCGTTTTTATCCATCCAGTGTTTACCCATGAAAAGAACTGCAGAGACCACTGATTTCTTCAGAACTCAAGATGTGAGAACCAAAGGTTTCAAAGCAGAATTCCATACAGAAGTTCATTACCTTCTCTCATAAGTAGAATTGAGCACAGCTCCATCAGGTCCTTTGGGAATGATTCCAACCCAGAGCTGGCGTTTATCAATAACATGAGGATTCTCCAAGAGAACAGGAAAAGGGCTGAAGAAACACAAAGATGAGACTGAAGTCATAAGCCCTCTATGATTCTCTACTAGCTACCAGTCCAGAACACTCAATTAGATCTGAGATAAAACAAAAAACACACTGAATTTTCAATAATGCCACTGTTCACATACCCAGACACTTACATCTGCATTTCCATTGTAAATGATGAGAGAGGAGAGAGAGTCCCACTGGTAAGGATAATTGTCCTGACTCCCTGTCGAACAAGCTCGTGCATGCTATATCCAGGGCTGAAACACCAATAGCTTAAGGTTTTTCCTGCACCAAATAAAGAGAAAACAATAAGAAGGCACACTGTATAGGGGAAAAATAGGATATGACTACCATGTAGCAGCATCTGAACTTCTAAAACTAAAACATCTTGGCATATGAAGCTGAAATCCCAGGTGTACGTGTGTTGTGCTTTCATCCTTCCAATTTATTATGACTACTCAAAACAATTTAAGATGCCATTGCTCAGTCATACCTTTAAGTAGATTCTATTACCATAGAATCATGGAATGAATTACGTTGGAAGTAATCTCATCAGCTATCTCAGGCTACGTCACTTAAATCCTCACTAATCACAGTTCGTAGATAATTATGCTCAACTAAATTATTTCTGCAAAACCCCTTGAAAACAGCTTTTCTTAAGAGCTCTGCAGTATTTCCATAAAACATGCCACACAACTACAGAGAAACTGGAGATCTGATCAGTCACCTCCAGCCTCTGCCAGGTTTATATATGGTGCAAGTCTCAAGATATTGCTGGACTGCTGCATAGGTACTTGCAAACAGTTTCTATTTTAGAAGCAGATACATCCATATGTTTGCTACATCACAGAAGAACGTTGTGACTGCTTTGTATTATTTTTACTTACAAATCCTCCAATTATGCAATAAATCTGGTGCTTCTGCTAGCCTTTCCCTGCACACTTAACAAAACCCACTCACAATTATTCCTGTAACTTGATATTCTGATGGAGCAATATCCCAGGAAAACAATGGATGCAGAGTAACAAACAGCACGTCCTGCTGCTCAGAACAGCAAAGGGAATATGTATTTTGTGGAAACATTCATGGGGACATTATGTGAAACAAACACTAAAATTGAGGGAAAGCATTCTTTGAAAAACATTGCTTTAGTCCTTAACAAAATGACTTCTGTGAAACAAATACTGATATTCCTAACAGCATTTAGATGAATAATTAAGTAGACATTTATGAGGCAAGGTATTTACAAAGATCCTTGGAAAGCATCGTACTAAGAAGGCTTCAATAAAGGACATCCAGCTCTCTTTAACAAGACAGGAGCTGAGTTGGGTTCAGCCCAGCTTTTGCATGAACCCAAGTGTGAGCTCTGTACCTTGCTTTTTCACAGCTGATGAATCCCAGAGATCTGTCCTTTCCTTCTTCTTCTTCTGATTACCGTTATCCAGATGAATGTGTACCTGAAGGAAAATAAGAGCAATGCTCCTAGAGACTGCTGCAGAAGTGAATGTGCACTGCACCCCAACCCCCAAAAGCCAGCTCCTGATAAGGAGCACAATTAACATCATTTTATAGTGATGCTGAGGTTGTATAACTTCCTATCTGCCTTTCATGTTTTGTTTCCAGTGCATTTAACAAGGAGCAAAGCAGAATATAATAATTCAACCATCCATTTTCAATCAGTTTATGGAAGCAGCATTTCAATGGTGGCCCTGAAATTTCACTTAAGCCTCGTGAAGAACTGCTTCACAAACAGAACTACAAAATCCGAGCAATACAAAAGATGAGTTTGCCAGGAGAACACAACACTTCCTGTAGAACTGCAACATTTGCAATAATTCACATTTTCTGCACTTCCCTTCTTACGTTTTAGAATTAAAAAAAGAAGTTCCTCAATAAATTACTGCACAAGTCCCCTTCTTTCTGGGCAATCTAATTTAATTACTCCTCTTCTTTTCCTGGAGGAAGTTACATAATCCTGTAGTAATCAACACCACAATTTGCTATACTATCCACATCCCTCTCAGTCTAGAATACATAAGCACAGACATTAAATGCTATCTAGGAAATAAGCAGAACAGAAAGCATTTCATACCTTATAATACCTGGATATCGACTGAGGTGGCACAAAACCTGTTGTGTCTTCTGGAGGATCAATGTTGAATACAGTCTAGAAGAAACAACATAACGACATGCAAAGATTAAACAGTTATCAACAAAATTAACATACCTTGGCACTGAGAAGTGTTTCCAGAAAATTCACTGTGGAGATACCCTTAAATATATCTCCTTGCCCCTTCGATTCAATAAGTTTTGAACAAACACATTTTTACAGGCAGTTCTTGCTAACCACTGGTCCTCCTCATTGCTCCAAACAATACAAGCCAGAATCTAAATATATTCAAATTCTATCAGTGGTAGCTTCACCATTCACACCATACCTGACTCCTGGTTGCTCAAGAGCACAAGCACACGGCGTGGTCATGAGATCACAGAGAGCCACAACTGTGTGTGCAAGAACTTTTGGAATTCCCTGAGCTGAAAATCCCAGCTGTGGTATCCTACCCTAATAACACTGCCTGGAGAAAACAATCAAGTTGTAATTGCATTTGTTTGTCCACACCTCACATGAAAAGCTTCTAGAAACCCCACACAGAATTGCGCTTCCTTCCCTTTCCTGTACTTGATGCCTCGTGGCTAAAAGGGATGCAGTTTCAAACATGCAGCTTTCCATGAAACCAGCTGTGGTTCTCAAATATTTATAAACCCTGCTAATTTTTCTAAACAAAATTTCTTCAGACATTTAAAATGAATTCTTGAGCTCACAGGAATATCAGCTAGTTAACAAGAAAGATGTTCTCCAGTAGTGAGAAGAAAACAGAAGCACAATTCCTGGAAAAACACATTTCTGAAAAGGAGTCAGGGACAGGGTGTGCAAACAGGATTTGGGTAAGTATTCTCCTAAAAAGAAAACAAAAATAATCAAAAAAGTGATGAGTAATTAAAGGGAAAAAAAAAAAAAGCTGTCAAATTGACTGTTGAAGGAACTATAAGAAGGAATTGCTGGATTTTACCACGGAAGACATTGACTGTGAGCTAGAGACTGAACACTGCCACCCATTGCCAGTCTCCATACTTGGGGGTTTTCTTATCATTCAGCCACTGATGCAATTCTTCATAAAGAAGAACCAACCCATAGCAACAACAACCAGAACAGAACACCACAACCCATGCCAGGTAAAACCAAGAAAAGCAACCAGCAACATACATTAAAACTGATCTATCTATTAAAGACTGACAAAGAATGACCCTTATGATCCAGAAGAGGCACAAATAGTTGTCTTAGTTCACTGTTGGGAAAAGATCCAATTCAACCCAGCCATCCCTGGTGACTCAGACAGATACAGGTTTCAAAAATCACCAAGTTCTGAGAATACAGCTGTGCTCCACATGGGTGTATATATCCCAAATGGCAGATTTCCAGATGTGTAATGGTACAGCTAAGATGCTATCTGTTCGAACATTAAGCTCTCCAAATGTTGCTACTCCATATTTGAGTATCATCCAAGTCCACCAGAACTCAGGTCAGCTTCAGAGGGAAGCCAGAAATTGAACTTCAGGCCCACTGTACCCTCTTATTCTATGAGGCCCAGATTCTCAGAATGTTTTGTAAATGCACAGCAGTGAGAATACTGCCAGCAACACATGGATGCCCACACACTTCCAGTGTTAAGTTCAGTTCCTGTGGCACAAAAAGGATTTTTATTTTACAAGATCTCCTGACTTAATCATTAAATGAAAAAAGTAATGTTGCTTTTTTTCTTTAAACTTAACCTGTCTCTTTTTTTGAGGCCTCACATTCCCACACACTGATCTCAAATGTGCACAGCCCAATGACCCAGCTCCACCTGGTGGAGGCTAAACCCAGACCAAGTTCAACCTAGCTCACCAAACAGGACATCAAACCTACAAAATAACAACCAGGGTCAAAAATCAAAGTAGGCTGTCTCATTAGGCAGCAGCTTTCTCCTCTAAACCTGTATGTTTCCATCAATGCACAAATATATATGCAATTAAAAGAGAAAAAAATGGTTCCCTCCAGTGACACTGAATGCTTTTTAAGCCAACTCTTCTATATTTCAGGCACCTGCAGCAGCTGCACTAATTATTTACCTGGATAATATCTGAGAGTTTATGCAATCCTGAGGTATTAATAAATATCCCAGTGCCTACAAAGAAGAACAAAACCATTACTTTTACAATAGAAACATGTGTATTGCTGTGTATGCACACCTGAACAGCACAACACCCTGCAAGCATCATTTGGAAACGTTATCTGAAACAGAAATGAGTTATTTCAAGTTCTCATCATTATTCAAGATGGAAGGAGAAATATAAAACTGGCATTCCAAGATAAGTTCCATGTTTCTGATGCATTAAGAAGCTGTAACATCAACTTCTTCAGGCTCTTCTACATTAAAAACTGGGAAGGAGGTAATAAAGGCAGAAGATAAGCATGCTTAAGCTACACGGTTATATTTTCAAGAGCTCAGACAACTAACATCAGGCTTATGAAAGCAGGAAATTGTTTGTGTAACCCATTACTCAGAGACAAAAGCAACCTTTGCTACAGCTCTAAGAGCCCCTTGCAATCATCCCACGCTTAAAGCAGGAGCAAATAAAACAGCATATGAAATACACTGACAATGAGAACTTGACCATGGAAATGGCATTTATTAAGCCAGAGAAGGATGCTGGGGGGGAAAAAGGAAGGGCAGATTTGCCCACAAAGAATGCATTTGCAGAAATTATATATTCCATGTCTATGTTCCGTGCTCTTTTCATTGCTTTCACTGAAGAGCAAGCTAATGAGAATGAGCTGTTAAGCAGACGTGACAAATTATTTTCTTAGTACATGTCAAAGTTGCACCTGCTTCCTTGCAGAAGAGCCAATTAAGAACAAGATGCTGATGGACACAAGAACAGAACCTCGTTAAACCTAGAAAAGATCATCAAGCAACTCCCAACATTGCTATCTCAGAAATCCACGAGCCAGGAATAGCTCAACACACAAAAAGCACCATCAGTAGAAGTGCCAGCAAGCTCTCCTCACACATTCCTTCTTGTTTTGTAGAAGAATAGTGTGATGTGCATAGTGTGATGTGCACACCTCGAGGTGTGCACATGTGCATACACAGCAGTAAATGCTCAGGTTTTGACACAACGTTGGTTCTTACAATAAATTCTGGTTCATGGATGGACAGTGTTTCCCAACAGAGGGCCTAGCAACAAAATTACACTGTTTCTCAGGGTCAGACCGTTTTATTTTAAGTGTTAAATTCAAAGATGCCTTTCTCCACTTCCCCCAGAACACTGCAAGCTTCCAATTACTCACATTAGAGAAAAAGTCCAAGTGAAAGAACTGATAAATTTACAGACTTACGGCCTGAAAGAAACTGTAAAATCTGCTCTAGTGACTCCAGGAGTGAGGCTTTGGTTTGAAACGTTATTTGGGCCTTTGCAAACAGTTCAAAGATGAAGCTGCAATTCAGAAGAAAAAGAAGCACACGTGGGTAAACACAGTAAACCATCACACAGACACAACAACTGCTACTACTCTTTCACAGCAACAATTTCACCATTCAGTTGCAAAACATTCTCAACTCAGTAAGAAAGAAAAAATGATGGGAATGTAAATATTTCCCATCAAAAATAATGATTGCTACATAAGGTGATTGAAAAAGAGCTGCAACATTGAATGAGTGCTATTCCCAGGAACCAGAATATTACTACTAACCCTGAGAGCCACTGAGAAATCCTTCACACAGTGACATATTTCTTGTCCCACTGCAGGTTTGTTCTGCGAGCACACAGAAGTACATTCATAAGCAAAAAGCTCACACCAGACTCAATTTAACCTAGGTTTAGAACTCCTCCTAACACGCAAATGCGTTCATGAGAAGAAATTTACCTTCCATCTTTGGTGACTCCACTGTCATTTGGTGGCAGCTCCACTGCATCAATTGCACTTTCTAGCTGAAGAAGAATTTCTTAATGGAACCAAAAAGAAAAATAGTTATAGTTCATAGAAACTCACTCCAGGAACTCATCTGAATCCCTTTTTCAAATGCAATCTATTGCAAAAGCTGCCATCAAGGACAGCAATTTAGCTGCTTTCTTGATCCCGTAAACAAGCTAAAAGGATTCAAGCCAATTTCTTTGGCATCACCTCTAAATATTTGTATTAAACTTTAACAAATCCTATGGCCTCAACCCATGACCTCTTAGATTAAATCTGTGGTACTCACAAAATACAGTTGCTAACTAAATACTAAACTCTTCTCTATAGATGGAGAAAGTTCTTGGAAACGCTTTGCAAACAGACATCTCAAGCCCTTGAGACAATCACTACACAGCATCACCTTTTACAGCAGAATGATGCAACCAATACATGGGCAGCACATTGACAACACTGCAAAGTGAAGGAACTTCTGGCAGAGAGACAAGGGATGCATTTATCTGCCAAGTCTCACCTTCCAGGGAAGTAACTGCAACTAAACATTCCACAAGACTCTATGAAAACCAGAGACTTCTATGAATGACTCAGTTGTTAACAACAACATCAGATGAATCTGATTACCCAGATGCTGACCAGTAGCTTTTTGAAATAGTTACAATAACAACTTTTAACAACAAAACAAACAAAAAATAAATCAAAAGAACCTTACTCTTTATCTTCGCTATATCTTCAAGTTCCATGTTCAGCCCTATTGAAGAAAAGAAAGATTTTAAGGAGTGTGTTTCACATCTGTTTCATTTCATATCCAGTTTCTTCAAGCCTTCTCAGAAACTATTAGTGTGGAAGTTAGCACTATGAACACGAGAAAAACATTTTCTGTATTCCATTTGCTGTTCCCTTTCACGACTGTAACAATCAGAAAGCTCAATGCAATGGAAGAGTGATACAGGAAGTGTAATGACAAAGGGCCTAGTGCAAAGAAAAGGTGCTACTAAGAAAAAGTGCTCACCTGTCTCCGACAACCAGCCTCACAGGGAAAATCCCACAAAAGGAGGGATCTCTAACCACAGGTCCTTCCCCAGGGGCAGTCAGCCCTTAAATGAGGCCTAAGATGCAGCCAGGCTCGACCCCTGCCTGTCTCACAGCTGAATTGCCTTCACCTCTAATTGCTCTAATGACTGACCAGGTCCTTTCCCCAGGTGCTCAATCAGTGGTTCAGGCTGTGACTCAACAGTTACCATTCACATGGCATTTTACATTGGTTTGGCCAAAGACTTTGTGTTTGTCTGACATTATTAATTACCAGTCACTTACCTAGAGATTTAGTTTCTAGTTATATTTCCCAGTAAAACAGCAGTTTGTAGTTGCCAACACACCTGAACTGATGCTCTCCATATTGAATTCAGCATTTACTTCATTCTGTTGAACTACTTTGGCTTGTTCTTCCAGTACTACATTTATAACATCAATTGCTGAAGCCAAATCGTAGGCTGTCAGGTCAAAAGAAGATGACTCTTCACACAGTCTTTCCTAAAACATCAAGGGATGGAAGCATTATTTAGACTGTACAAGGTGTTATTTGGTCAGGTGGTTTCACAGATGATAACGTGTAGATGAACAGACTTGACTTCCTTTCTGTTCTCCAAGCTCAGGCTGGAGGACATTTTCAAATACCTTAAGACTTTGACTTACACTGGGCATCTTTTTTTCTGGAACACAGAAGATGTTTGCTAAACACCACCTCCTTTTTTTTTTTTGGCATTATCAAAAATGGTATCATATCCATCAGGCAGCAAATCAGTCATCAAAATCTCTTTAGGTCTTAACAGACATTGCATCAGTGATCATACGACCACGATAAACAACACTGACAAAGGACACAGTTGGGTGCAGAGTTTACAGATCACTTGTTATACGATACTGGTCTGTATTTCGTTTTGGATGATGTTTGAGAAATGGCAACAGAACAGAAACAACCTACCACATTGTGAGCTTCATCAAGTATTATCACAGTCCCCTTCAGCTCTATGTTGTGAGCTCGTCGGCTCTAGAGATGAGAAAGAGAATGAGGGAACACTTATGGAGACTACAACTGATACTGTATTCAAGAAAACATTTCTACCATACTGGGACTTACAGGTTTATCAGAATTAATCTCACTCATCATTTTTGCCAACAGGGACTTGGGAGGAGTGAGGTGTAAACCAGGGAGATTTAGCTTGTGGATTACTTTTGTGTTGTTTGCTTTTTGGTTTTATTTTAGCAAATCTCTTCTTGTGACATCTGTGCTGTGAGCTGATGCTCTGAGGACATCCTCAGCAACAAAATATCTGCTAACTTCAAAATGCTTCCCTGCTTAAGGTGGTCAGAGGTTTTGGTTAGATTTATTAAGCATTTGGTCTTTTTGCCTCTTGCAGTAATGGAACTTAATCCAGCTTCTACTACAATTCATGAATAACAACAGGTTGCAAGAAGATGTTAGCAGATCTGTTTCCTCAGCAAAGTTTTTGTCTGTGAAACACTGACAATTTATTGCAGCAGCTTTTTCTAAAACCAGCAGCTATGTACAAGAGCTGTCCAATCTCTATGGAAAGGCTCACATTCATCCTACAAGCCATGCTGGTCACTGCAGAAGCAAAAGATTCACAAAACACGTGCAAAGCCACTGCAAAGTATGCTACTGATGGTTTCATTTCAGGAGTTAAATATAACCAGAAGACAAAGACATCATATTCTGCAAAGCTGATTTGAGCAAGACCTCAAAGGAAACAACACAGAAAATATTTGTTAACTGTGGGAAAGTAGAACTGAACAGAGAGAACCACAAAAGGGCCTCCCCTGACTCTGAACTTGAAACAAGTTTTGATTGTTTCTGAAGCACAGCACACACGACACTTCCTTGCTGTGCATCTGCTCTCAACAGCTCACCCACTAAAAGTCAACCTGAAATAAAAATAAGAAGATTGTATTTAAAAACAAAGATCCACTACCTTTGCATCCAATAAATAGTTGTAAGGCATAAAAATAATATCTGCCTGCTGCTTCAGGCTTCGAGACAGATAATAAGGACAAGCTCTGTTTAAAAAAAAAAGTAGCACAGGTTATAAAGTCATAGTTGCAGAAATATTAAGAGTGCATTCATCATTCATGTACTGTGTTTCATGCTCTCAGTGGCTTCTAGTCAATTTCCTAATGAATTGGAACTGACGTGTTTGATTTTTCAGGCAAATAGCTCTATCCATGCAACACGTAATAAAGTGTAGAAAATATCCCCATCGATGCACGTAGCTCAGCTGAACAAAGAAAAAAAGAATTCAAATGAGAAAGAGTGTTACTCTTTGCTGCATTATACTTTTAAACCCGTAGGCAAGAAGTAAATGCTGGGCTAGGCTACTTTATCTCAATAAATCAGTCATATAATTCTCTTAAATCTGGAACTAAACTGCAATGTTTGTCCCATCATATGACATTGGAAGCCTCTACTCAAGCAAGAATTAAAATTCTGGTAAGAAGGAGCAAGATCAGAGAACATCTACCTGTGCTTGCTTCCATTTTTAACCAAATCTTCAATATCCATGATTGAATCCATCAGTCCTTTCTCTGTAGACTTCTCTGTGAACAGTTATAACATTACAACCAGAGGCTTAAGTGAAGGTGCCCCACCAGGACTTCCTGCTACCCTGCTCATCACACTCATCCACTTCTTAACATCTTGGTCTCAAAAAACATGAATGCAGACACAGCACACACACACATATATGCACACCACATGCAGATGCACACAGAGACTCTGCCTGCTCTTTCAGACTTCTCCACCTGCCTAGCAGACAGTTCCAACAAATGGGGCTTTATTTCCACAGCCAAACTCACCTTCCACATTGTTATAGAAGTGACAAGCACGAGCCATCACTTTCTTTCGGCACATATAGATCTGCAAAATAAAGCCCTTTTTAGCACAGCTTGTCAAGCACTGTGAAGTGAGCTAAGAGATCAAGAGTTATCCACTATCCATAATGCCACCTAATGAATAAACACAGGCCAGGGTTCTCCAGTTTTAAAATCAGGCATCCTTCTGTTCCCCAGAGGTTACACTGTGTGTGTGAGTGGCACAGAACTCACATGTTCGAAGGAAATTTGCTTATATTTTACTACTACAGTCTTTGACATCACTCAAAGATCACAGGTAAAGCAATCATTGAAGCATTATTTTTAAATGGTTGTTGCCATTGAAAAACATTGAAGTGCAGACCTGAATAAACTGTAAACTATTAATCGCCCCTCATCTTCTGTGCAATCACAACCTCCTTCAAATGGAAAATGCTACCAAAAATGCCAAATTAAATTTTGCACTAAAATAGATATGGCAAGTTCCACAAAACTCATGAAAAAAATGAGTATCTTTCATTACAGCCTCCAGTGATAAAGCACTGATAAAGCAACGTCAAGCTTAAGAACTACACATTTTATGTCAAAATAAAGAACAGCCTGGCATGTTCTTGTTACACATTTTCAAGGCTCTGTTCTCACCTGCATGTGGTTACTCTCCTGTCGTTTCACTTCAGGATTGATGCAAAGCTGCTCTCTGGAACCCAAAACACATATCTTTGGCCTGTTCAAACAGAATATACAAACCTGGTGTTAAAAATACAGCAAGAAAGAACGCAGTTGAACAAACCTACGTGGGGCTTAATATCTCAAATAACGAGAAGTTCATGAGAAATGGATGAGCATAAAAACAGGCCAGAATCATAACCAAGGAGTTAGTCTGTTTACAGCAGCCACAGATAGGCTTCCTAGTACTACACTTCTCCCAAGAACAGTGGGAGGTAATGAGTAGCAGCTTACATCATGCTGTAGAAAATCTGGGTTTTGTTATGACAGATCAGCCAGATAAGCTGGGGCTGCCACCTACTGCAAGCTTCTCGAGAGGCAGCTGCCATTCTTACATGAATAAGATTATGACAAGAAGTGAAGCAAGGAATTTGTGTGAAATAAATGTGTGAAATAAAGAACCTAAACCAGACTGAATTCAGGAAATTCTACAAGTGAAGGAAAAAAAAAACAACAATGAAGAACTCCAGGTTGTGCACATGCACATTAAGAGAACTAGATTTCAGTACCAGTTTTCTATACCTTCATACATTTATACAGACATAAATTCAGACAGCAACTAGAACAGTATTTTCCTCCACCTTTTCTTTAAATGGGAGCACCATCCTAAATCATATTTACCTGTAGACTGTGTTCTTTAATTCGTTAATGACCTGCGTAAGCTGAGAGTGAGTTCTGGATGCATAAATTATTTTAGGAATGTCTGTGTAATATGCTGTCAAATAGAGGGGAAAAAAAGAGCAGAAAACCACTATTAGCACAACAAGAAGAACATGGGATATTATTAGTTTCCTTTCCCAGCTGGTGCTATGGCAATGATTTGCCTTGTAGAGACAGCAAGATTTTGTCACACAAGTACTCACACACAAAAACAAGCTAAGTGCACTTTTAATACTCCAAAAAAAAAATTAAAAATACATAAATAAAATCAAGTGTTCATTAACATTCCTGCATCACTCCCACTGAGTATAAAAATCAAAGAACTCACTTGGGATGTCACCATCTGTGGCAGCATTGCCCCAGGAAGACATGGGTCTGTCAGGGAAGAGTTCGACTCCATTCATACGCTGTGCAATTTTGCGGGCTGAGATGGTATCTTTGAAATGTTCCCTCCAGGCCAGAGTGGAACAGAGCAGGCATAGGGTCTTTCCTGTTCCTGTAGGGCTCTCTAGAATGCCGTTTACTTTCTTTATTGAAGAGAAATAAAAGGAATAAGGGAAAAATGGGTAATTTAGAGGTTCAGCCAGAGCAACTGCATAGGGCTGTGCTTTCTCATACAACAGAAAAATATGTATCAATATAAAAGTTTATAAGCTGGGATTGTTTAGTCTGGAGAAGAGGAAGCTCAGAGGAGACCTCATTGCTCTCCACAACTTCCTGACGGGAGGTTGTGATGAGGAGGGGTTCAGCCTCTTCTCCTCAGCAAACAAACAAACCCGAGGAAATGGCCACAAGTTGTACCAGAGGTGTAGGTTAGACATAAGAAAGAGCTTTTCCTCTCAGAGAGTGGTCAGGCACTGCAATGGATGCCCAGGGAGGTGGTGGAGTCACCGACCCTGGGGGTGTTCAAGGAAAGGCTGGATGTTGTGTTGAGGGACGTGGTTTAGTGGGAGCTATTGGGAATAGGTGAACGGTTGGACTGGATGATCTTTTAGGTCTTTTCCAACCTTGGTGATTCTATGATTCTATGAAGATATGGTTTAGTGCTTGTGGTAGCAGTGCTAATGGGAGGGTGGTTGGACCAGATGGTCTTGCAGGTCGTTTCCAACCTTGTGATTCTATGATTCTGAAAGCATGACCTGGAGGACCCTCTAACCAACTTAGCGTGCTCAGTCTAAAGCCCAGAGTAAGAGGAACCACAACGCACAACATCTCATCTAAAAAGCCTCTGCTCCCAGATAACACAACAGGATGAGAGGCGATGGCCTCACGGCGCACCAGGAGAGGGTGAGGTTGGGCATTAGGAACCATTTCCTCTCGCAACAGGGGGCGGGGGTTCACCATCCCTGAAGCCGTGGGGATGCGGCACAGAGGGACGCGGGCGGCGGGCACGGCGGGGCTGCGCTCGGCGGTCTCACCGTCTGCAGACACTCGAGCACTTTGGCCATGTACGTCTCCTGGCATTCGTAGGGCTGGAAAGGGAAATCCACCGTCACGCCCCTCAGCGTGATCCTGGGCATCGCTGCCGACCGATCCCTGCAACGGAGCGCGCCGTTAGCAGTCGGTAAGAACCCGGAGACCGACGTGGAAAGGCCGTTCAAAGCCGGTTCAAGGCCGTCCCAACCCGCCCCCCCTCCTGTCCGGGCCCCGCTCGCAGTAACGCTGCCCCCCCCCAACCTTCCGCTCCGCCGTTCGGAATCCCCGCTCCGTGTCACGCGCCCACCCCGCCCCACTCGCGTGGCGTAACTTCCGGCGCATGTCCTCGCGAGACTTCCGGCGTTGCCCAGGAAACGAGGCCTGTGTAGGCCGCGGCGGGGCTCTGAGCAGGCCGCGTTGAGTCCTGGCTGGACCAGGGGCGAGCGAGTGGGGCTGGAGGTTCTGTGCGTCTCCTGTGATCTGTTGTGGAGGTCCTGGGAGCTGCAGGCTGTGAGGAGCCGAGCCCTAATAGTGGTTTGGTCCTCAAGGGCAGCAGGGCCTGAGCCTGAGAGGGGCTTCTCCTCCCTGCTCAGCCACCGTGCGGTTCAGGCACTGGGAGACAGCAGGTCGGTCGCTAAAAGGGGCCAAGAAGCTGCTTCTCTCAGCCTGTGCCCCCTGGACTGTGCCCTTCCGGTGTGTTGGTAGTGGCTGGAGCAGCTCTTCGCCTTGTTATGGGCTCAGCATGATGGGGATGGCTGAGGTTTCTCTCTGGGGCTGCTTTTTGCCCTGCACATCTGGCACCCTGCACAGACCAGCCACGTAGCACAGGGTTTGCTGTGGAGTCAGCCTGCCCCGTAGATAAAGGAATTGTCTCTTTCATTTTGTTGGGCCTCTTGGCTTCTGCAGTAAGAACAGTAGTGAATTTTGGCAGCTGTCTTGCTAAGGGTGAACGTGCTGCTCCTTTGTTCTCCTTTTGCTCCCCTTCTGCCTGCCTTCAGTCTCCTGTCACTGGTGCACGTGGCCAGGAGCTGCCTGGAGGCTGCAGCCCCTCAAACCTCATGTGCCACAACCAGCCCTGAGCTGGGATCTCCATGTGTAAGATTCCAGCAGCTCTTGTAATAAATGGGCAGGTGTGGTTTACCTGGATCCCCAAATTTCACTGAGCTGTATTTTAAGTGCTTACATGAGGAGGAAAAAAATGTTTCAGATGCATCTCCCTGTGTTGTTGCAGCATCCCACGCTGTTAGTTGCTGTGAAGATGCAGAACAGGATGTGGTCTAATTTACTGTATCTTGTCAAATATCTCCTAGCAAACTGCAGGGGGTAACGTTTGCATGTAGAGGTGTTCAAATACTTAACAGACGTTAAATGTGAGTCTGTTGTATAACCTGATCTCAAACTTCTGGTATATTCTGTGTTCAGCTAGGGGAGTTTACTTCTGTGGCTGTTTTGCTTGCCAGTCTTCAAACTCCTTGAGCTGAACTTGCCTGGCTTGTAAACTGTCTTTAACTGCAGCTAATGGGCTGGAGAGATTTGAGTTATTCCTTCTGTGCTTTGTGGTGCTCCACACAAAATGTAACAATTTATTTTGCACCTGTTTCTGAGTGTGCCAGAGAGCTCTAACTCGATATTCATCGTGCAAGAGTATGCTGCAAAAGAAATGACTTATTAAAACTGAAACACCGTGAGAGCGAGCAGTAAGTTTATAATGGAGAATAAAGGTTTAAAAATGATCACAAATACGTGGAATTTTCTGTCATTATAACTTTCCTACACCAAAGAAGAATAACAGCAGCACTATATCAAATCAGATTATTCTTAGGGTTATTTAGGTAGTGTTGATTGAAGCAATGTTACTTTTAGAGAAGAGCTGGAAGGCTACCAAACCCAAAAAAGGAGTGTGAGTCAGCAGCGCTGTTGTCCGGGCCGTGTGAGTCAGCACTGGCTGAGGGCTCCTTATCCTTCTGGAGGATTGGGTCTCTGCACCATTTACCTTACTTGACCAACTCTGCAGTGCCAGCACTGGCGAGCCTCTCATTGCTGCACCTGAGTATTCTAAAATCAGAGAGCAAAATCTCTCAAGGGAGGGATTTGTTTCTCATGAAGAACTGTGGGGGTTCACTGAAGCTGGGACATCTGTTTTATGTTGTGACACAAACACAATAAGCACAAGAATTTGTCTTATGCCTGGACTTTCGTTCTGGTTCCCAGCTCCCTCCGTTCTTTCAAGGCAAAACTTTGAAGAGGAAGAAAGAGAGAGGATAGGAAGGTTCTGAAGAACAAAACAGATCAGCACGGTTACTTGGCGGCCCAGTCCCTATCTAACACTCGTTGGATGATAAACCAAGACAGGAAGACGTGCAGCCAGCTGAGTTTTCCTCACTGCGCGCTCGGGTCGGTGGGTGTTGATTTTTGGATGAACCATCTTTCATTTGAAGCGGTGCCTTCGAGGGGAGAAAAACACACAAAGGAGAAACCTTAAAAAAGACGATTCTCAAACTTCACAGGGAAGGGGGTGTGAGGGCGACTGAAGGGAACTGCAGGGCCTCGTGCCAGCAGAAGGCTTGTGCAGAGCAGAAGCACGAGGTGCACCACCTGTAGTTTTGCTCACAGGCCACCTATGTGGGATTTCTCTTCCCAGTCAAGTGAGAATCTTGAGGAATGGGAGGAGGCTTCAAAGAGCAGCATCAACTGCCTGTGAAATTGCTGCTGTTTGTAGGAAGGATATTTTTCTCCTTTCATACAGGAGATGATTAGGTTGCCATTCATTGTCCTTCTGAGCATGTGTGATGGCTCCCATAGCAACCATCTAAAACTTTTGTTTGGCCACATAATTGTTTGGATCTTTTGAATCCAGGTAACCCAGAGCCTTGATGTCTTTTCCCTGTTGGGTAACAGAAGAACAACAGCTTTCCTCCTTGACACACTCAGACTTTTCACACAGTCATTCTGTCATTAGAAAAATAAGTGAACACCCATTTTACAGATGAAGAAGCTGAAGCAGATGGGATTAATGCTTTGGTGGAAGCTGTACAGCAATCCAGGACCAGAGCTTGCATCTTCACATGCTCCAAATTTGCCCTTTCTCATCTGTGGGTGCTCAGCCCTCCAGCTTTGTACTGCTAACTTCTGCATGTGTGCTGCAGTTGCAGCTGAGCACCCAGAGGTGACCTGAATCCGCAGCTTGCTTTGCACCTTTACATGACTGAAGTAGCACAACCCTTCTCCCTGACCCCATCCCTCTGTACTACGTGGCCTCATTTCTCAAGTGCACAGTGGTTATGAAGAGGAAACAGAATAACCCCGTTGTTTCCTTGCCTTCAAGGAAACATTTTCTTGATTTAATGCTGATGTTGTCGTGGATTTCTTGTATTAGTTAACAATTGCAAGGGGCTGATGGCTGCCCAGTGTGGAACATTTATTATTTCATGCCAACTGAGACAGCTTCTCCCAGCTTGAGACTGCAAACAGGACAGGTAGGTCTCATGCTATTGCCAGGCAATGTGTTATTGCCCTGTATTGCAGCACCATGGAAAAATAGAACTTGTAAAGACATTTAAAATAAGGAAGAACGATCACCCAGTGTAAGAGATGGATCCAGCATTAATTATATTGAATTGATGTGTCAGGTCATCTGGGAAGTGCCATCAGTACTGGAGCTGAAGTGTATGCTGTGTGGCATAACCACTTGCTCCAATGGGACATGTGCCTTGGAAGTGTTCTGTGCCTTTTTCTAAATAAAAGGAAGAAAACTCATGCAATTGATGTCTGGAAGCTTCAGAACATTGCAAGGGGTAGGCAGACCCTGTTTGACCTCCTGGGTGAATCAAAGCCAGAGCTGACGCTGAATGGAGTGGGAGAATTCCAGTCTTGGTGAGCTTGGGATAGCTGTCTTTACCTGCTAATGGGGAAATGGACTCATGAACCATAGGAAACTTCAGCCTGCAGCCCTCAGGATGACCTGTAAAGTCATCGAAATTCAGCCGAAGGAAAAAGCAGGGGATTTACAGCTGGGAAATAAGCCTCGAATGGATGCAGGTAGCAGTTAATTGTCCACTTGGGATTTAAAAAAAATAAATAAATCCTGCTCCAAACACAGAGTGGAAAAATTGTGGATAATGCCAATATTATCCTGAATTAGACTGAAGGTTTTTGTTTCTGTGATAAATCTTTGCATTTGATGTACAGTGTTGGGATGGGGCGCTCGGAGGCTGGGGGAAAGGATAGGAAGAAAGGGCTTTGAGTCTTTCAGTGCATTCAGCAGGCATTGCATGTAGCTCCCATCTCTGTTGCAGCAACGTGAGCAGCCCATGGATCCCTGCAGCTGCTGGGGGGGGCTTGGGAGTGCCTGCATTGCAGTGCACTGGGGGGGCTGCAGCCGGGGGCTGTGCAGGGGGCTGCAGGGCTCTGTGCAAAGCCCAGCTGAGGGAAAATGTGGTGCTTCTGTGGTCCTGAGCGTGGCTGGGGGACGTGCTGCAAAAGCACAGATGTGCTGGCCTCTAGGAGAAGAAACAAAGGGGAGAAATGGTGGAAAATGGAAAAGGAAGAAGAAGAAAAGATGTCCCGATGCCTGAGAAATAATAATAATGAATGCACGCGTATAGGGAGACAGCAGAGTTCCACTGGATTCGGAATGCTCTGTTCTGCTCTTCTGCATCTACTTTTACAACACTTTCACCCCTAACTGCAGCCCCTTTGGTGCCCTGGTGCACAAACTGTGCCTAAAAGCACTGAGCCCATCAGGAACCCCCACCTCCCTGCCTGTTTGGCTGAGAATGCGGCAGGGTTTGGGCTCCGGCTGGGAGCTCCATCCTCCTCATTAGCAGAGCTCAGAGCCGCTCCATCCATTTCATTAAAATACATATATATGAAACGAATGGAATGAGATGAAACGAAAGGAAATGAGAAAAGATGCAAGTAATAAAGATAACAAAGAGAATTAAAAAAAGAAAAGCATTGCTCGTTTTTGCTTTCAACTGATAAAAGGGAAGCAGAGCAGCAGACAAGAAAGGCAGGCAGTGGAGAAGGCCATCTTTTGCCGGAGCTGGGTGTGTCTGCCCCCCACCCACCCACACCGCCCCCCCCCCTCCCCATCACCCCCCTCCTCCCGGCTCCGCAGTTCTGGCAGCGGGCGGACGGGGAGGGACCGCCGTCAAAGCCGCCCGGAGGAGCCGGAGCCGCTCATTGCCGCCGCCGCGGATCCGCCCGTCCCTCCGCTCCATCCCCGCTCTGCGGGCGCTCCGCTTCGACCTCGCCTCCCCGTACCCGGCAGCATGGCCAGCACCGTCTCAGGTAGGGCTGCTCGTTACCCTTCTTCTCTTTATATTCATATATATATAGATATATATGGAGGTTTTTGGATTATTGATTGATTTTTTTTTCCCTTCGCCTGTGCTGCTTTGGATGCATTGTTCCCCACCGCCCAGCACACACCCCCTGGTGCGAGGCAGTGGGTGCTCCTTGGATTTTAATAGCGATCCACCCGTGATAAATGTGCCTATTTATGCTATGGCTGCTGCTATGTTGCACCATCCGACGGCGCTGCTTGCCAATTCACGGCTATTTCTGCAGTGTGATGCAGCTTTCTTTTTATTCCCTTTAATAAACGTGCATGGGGTGTAGCTGGATGCAGAGAAATGCCAAATGGCGTTTCCCTACAATTCGGTTGTGTGAAGATTATAGATTGCTTAAATGGATATTGCTTAAATGGATATTGGAAAGAAAGATGTGGAGAATTAAAAATCCCTTTAAAAAAAAAAAGCCTAAACCCAACCTGGGTGCGCTGCTGTGCGATCTCCCAGCTCCCCACCCTGTGTTTCTTTCATCAGGAGATGCTCCAGGGGAGCGGTCCTCTGATGGCGCTGGTGAAGCAGTGCTGCAGGGCAGCCCCCCTCCCTCCCTCCCTCCTCCTGCAGCAGCGCTGGGGCTCTGGGTGGGCTCTGCTCCCCCTAAAAATGATCCTCGTCCCTTTGAGCCGGAGAGCAGGAATTGAAATGGCTGGGGGTTGGGCAGAGGAGAAAATCCTGCATTGATACAGCGGGCAGTGGGTGTGTTCAGAGGGTCTTTCTCTTTTCCCTTAAAAAAAAAAAAATACATAGAAGTTTCTGGAGAAAACACAGTGCATAAAGAGGGGCTTGGGTGGGTGAAGCTGAACCATGCAGGGCTGGGGTGTGGGACTGAATAGGAAGGGAAGACAAAAAGGAAATGTGGGGAGTGCTTTGTGCCCCCTCTGTGGCAGAGAAGCAGGCAGAAGGCAGCAGGCAGCACCCCTGCCTCTTCCCCTGCCCTTTGCTGGGTCCTTCTAAGCGTTCTCTGTTCTTTTCTCCTTTTAAAAGGGATGGAAAGATGGGAGGTTTTGTGGGGTGGGTGAGGTGCGGTGGGCTTTGCATGCAGCTGTAGGTGGGGAAGCAGCACATCAAAAGGTGTCCGAGTGGTTGGAAATCTTCAGCCATTCCATGCATTCGTGCAAGTGCTCCTGTGTCAGGGCGTACTGGGAGGTGCCCCCCAGCTGTTCCCACCCTATGATGGGGCTGGGGATGTTTGCAGCTGGGAAGAGGACATGGAGCCACTTAGGGGGACACAGCAGACTGCTCGGCCATGACACCAAGGGCGCAGCAAACTCAGCACAGGCAAGGTGCTGCATGCATCCCCCATTTGGTGCATTCTTGCTTTCCCAGCCCCATGCCTGTGCCACATTTCACCTGCTGGAAGATGCAGTTTTATTGCCAGGGCAGACTTTGGATCGTGCAGAAGTGTGTGCTTCACAAAACCATGCTTTTTGTAGCTCTCTGCAAGCACAGAAGTGATGTCAGGGGGTTGAAAGGCAGGGCTGTGGCAGGAGGAGAGCAAGGCTGAGCCTCGCCCAGCATTGCAGTGAGCAGCTTCCCACCAGCTGCTGTCTCCATAGCAGGAACAGCCTGGAAAAGTGGAGAAAAAAAGGCAAGCTGTTCCTTAAAATAAGGGGAAAAAAAATCTTGTTTTCTCTCTTCATTATCCCCAGCCAAAGCTAATCCACGCTGCAGGGAGAGCAGCTGCAATTGTCTGCAGCTGGTGCCCAGGGGCTGATTCCCCCTTGGGAAGATTTTCTTGGGATTGTTCAAACAAATTGCTGGAATGATAAGAAACAGGGCTCGCTTCCCCCCGGCCCAGCACTCAGCACTGCTTTCCACCTTCATTTTTTGCTGGCCAGGATTGTGCCTGCTAGTGCAGAAGCTGAGGGAGCAGCAGCACATGCTCAGTGCAGGTTCAGCTGCAGTGCTGCAGGGCCGGAGCCCCACACACCCTCCTGCAGCAGCTGGACAAAGCTTCGTGCTTCCTGCAGCTCCTCATGGGATCCTGTGGGGCTCTACAAGGCTGGAGTGGTTCCCATCGTGTGTAGGTGTCTGGGCTGAGCAGAAGCTGGGAGCACCAGCTCCCTACATAGAGATTATGAAATGATGCAGTAAGGTGGGAGCCCCATGGGCTTTTCTTGGATGCTGGTGTCTGAGAAGGAGGAGCCGAGAGGAGCTGCTGCTTGGCGTTCATGGATCCTGGAGTTTTCCCATCTCCACTGAAACGTCAGAGTTCTATGGCCTGACATGGGCATGGGTTGCCCTCTTACTCCCTGTTCTGAATGGTGTTGATGGACACCAATCAGCATTGCTCCATACCTTCATTTCTACTACTGGTGACATTCAGGGCTCTTTCTGCCACGCCTCTCCATCACAGCGCTCTCAACAAATCACTATCTATTTTCTCTATTGTTGATAGAGTGCATATGGCCTGTCTTAGATATTTATGGTACTTTTATTGGGACTTCAGTTTTGCAAGCCAAGAGAACCTCTTGCAGGCATTTCTTTTTGATTTAATTTTTTTAAATGTTGTCTCCAAGCAGAGGATCTGAATCTTTAAGTAATATATTTTCTTTCTAAAATATCTTCACTGGTGGCACCATGTTGGTTACCCTCAGATATCTCAAAATTCTCCTATGCAGAAGGGACCTGAACTGCTGCTCATATCATCAGCTGTGATTTAGAAATACAAAAGAGTTAGAGAGCAACCAAGGTCCATGTGAATGCACTGTAGCACTTTGCACATCCCAGCTGGTGGAGAGCGGCTCAGGATATTTTCTGACAGCCCTTTTATTCTTTTGAAGTACCTCGACATGTTCAGTGCCATACTGCAGAATCTTGTGTTCTCTGGAAGTGTTTATAGAAATAATATCTCTGTACAAGGTGCCAGTACAATAATCCCCAGTTAAGGTAAAGGAAACCAGAATCCAAAGGGACCAAACAGCTGCCTGTGGCTCAGCGTGACATGGAGCTCCTCACTTTGTCCCATGAACAGCTCATCCTATTCCAAGCTATTTGAAAGCAGCTTTTCTTTGTTTTATCCAACTATGACTACATTTGTCCCAAACCTGCACTCTGGGACAGCTGCCTCCATTTTGGCTCCTTCAACTGCTTTAGCAAGCAACCCAGTCCATGCTTTTCTATTTCCTGGTGACCATTCACTAACACACTCAGGCTCCTGGCTCTCTGCTGCCCTACTCAGACCCTTCTCCCTTGCTCAGCCAGGAGAAGGGGAAATCTCCTTGATTATTTTCCTGCAAAACACTCCACGTGTTCAGCATTGGAGAGTGAGCGATTTGCTCATTTATTGGCTGTGCGTAACGCGGGTTGATGTTGCATACACGAGTTGCAAATGAAACCTGGGAGGGAATGAGGCAGGTAATAGGAAACCACTTCTGGGGATGGCTCAGCAGATGTCCGACAGCAGGCAGATTCTTCATGTCTGTCCTCGTGAGCGATTCCACCTGCACCCACTGCACCTTTTGGGTCTCTATAGAAATGGAGATGCATCAGTCTCGTTCCTCAGGATCCCACTGCTTTCACTGGTTGCCCTTCCTCTTTTGGCTGTGTGAGCTCTCGTGCTGCTCTGGTTTGGGATGTGGTGGAGGAAGAAGAAGGAAGTGAGTTGGACTGAGGCAAAGGCCTTGCTGTCAGCTTGATGGCAATGAGATTATCTCCATCCTGTTGTATTCTCAAAGCTTATCAAAGGTTGTGGTTGCTTTTGTTGTGCATGTGGCATAGCATTCTTTATTCTGAAAGACCCAGATCACTGATTTTTCTTTGCTTTCTGTTTGTATTTTAGCTACTTTTACAATTGGACCATTCTCTTCTTATTGCGGTATAATATTCTTCACAGACACAATTTTTTACTTTTCCAAAGTTATATTTGCAAAACAAGTGATTTTCTTCTAATAACCTTCTTTTGACCTTACTACCAAATACGGCACATTCAGTCTCATCCGTTTTAATTCTCTGAGTTCACACAAATATTCTTAATGTGCCTCTGGTTCATTATGACTTACACTGTACTGATGTTGTGCCTTACCAGCCCTGTTCTATTTTGCTGGACATCATTAAACATCTAACAAAAGGCAGGCTAATCAGACAGCCTTCAGCTTCCTTTCATCTGGTCAAGAAGCGAAGAACCAGAATTTTTGACCAATATTGTGTTGGAAATGGGAAACCCCATGGTCCGAGCACATCACCAGTGGGAGACGGTTCACGTTGCTCATGCCCTGTGCCCATCCCCAGCCACTTCTCTGTTTCCTGCTCCACAGCCACTCAGGGAGTAACTGGTGTCCCTGGGGCTTAACTTGAAAATAAACACTTCACATGGACAAATGCTGTGTGTAGCGCTTGTGGGAAGCAGCTGGAATATGAGGATGCATTATGTACTGCACAGCACTAGAGGGAGCACAGGAAATGGGTCACTGGAGAGGAAGGAAGCTGAGAGCATGTTCATTTCTTGACAGGTTGGTAGAGGCTTTGGAATCTGCCTTGCTCTCCTTGCGACAGGGAGGAAGTAGTCTGACTCGTGCAATATAGACAGTGCAGGGAAAAGTTGGATGAAACGTTTTAATTAAGATTAATTCTTGAATGTTGTGTGCAGTGGCATTGAAATAGAGCAGAATCAGATGGTGCTTGTTACTGGGCATAAATATTCAGAAGTATTGCTCCTTTTTAGATAGTATTGTCATTTAATGGCTACCTGGGGTCCCATGAAACAAAAAATAAAGTTTACTCCACCTTACAGGATGCTTAAATAACAAGTCCAGCTTTTCCAGTCTAAATGTTATTGAAATATGTAGATCTGTGCACTGGAAGGCACATGATCTTTCCTGGCAGCAGCTCATTGCATGTAATTCTCTGGCCAACCAGCTGTCTTGTCTTGCTTCAGGAATGATTCCCCCTGACACAAGTATGTCCTCAGAACTTTACATCTATTGGTAAATATGAGTGCAGGCACTCCTGAGGTAAGTTGATGCGTGCAAGGTTTCCAGTAGTGGTCTTTTGCCCTGGGAGCTTTAAGCATTCTCTTTTTGATGCAACTGAAACTGAAAGTCTTGCTTCAGGAGACCTTGGATTTAATCTCCTTTGACACAGTTTCTTAAACAGTGACTCAGTGGTTATGTTCCCTACTTTTATTTGCAGTGTTATAAATCTTCCCCAGCTGAGCAAAATGGAGCACTCTCAAGGGATCATTCAAAAATATATTGGAAAAAAAAACCTGACACTGAGTTTGAGACCATTTCCAGAGGAACGATTGCCTCGGTGGCCTGACATTGTGAGCCTGTACAAATGCCCTGAGTGACAGCTGCGACTGCTCCCCTGGCTGCAGTATCTGTTTGTAAATGTTCGGTTTGGTTTTGATTAATTGCAGTCACGTTTATGTGTGAGCAACTGTGAAAGAAATTTAATGGTCCAGCCTGGTAAGTTTCAATCTACACCAATAAATAATTAAATGCCAAGATAGAAAAATAACTTGCCCTCGGAGACCTTAGACTAATTTCTGTTCTGAGAGGGTTGGACAACCCTCAAGATAAAGAGGTGAGTAGCAGTGAACAGATTGATGTTCAAACCCTACGTCAGCAAAATCCCCACCTGAATTCAGCTTCCCATCTCATTTACAATGCCAAATCAAGCCGAACTGCATAGAACCAGGATCTCCCTCTGCTCACTGAATTTATTTTCTTATCTTAGCCTACTGACAGCGTGTTGGACACATGTAACACCTATTTTCTAAAAACGACCTGGGGATGAGGTCATTGCGATGGTTCTCCCGTGGGTCCGTATTTCCTCTTTTTCACGTAGAACCCCCGGCCTTGGCGCTGCCCGGGGTGGTGCTGAAGGGACAGCTCCGCGCGGGGGATCGCGGGGATGGGGGCGGTGGTGCTGAAGGGACAGCTCCGCGCGGGCCGTGTTCTGTCCGGGGCTGGGCCGGGGGGATTCCCGCCCCACTGCCGCCTTTCCCGTTGTTTTTCCCCGGACCAAACCTGCGGTTGCCATGGATTTGTCTGGTAGCGAGGGCTGCCCTAATGGTGGGGCTCTTTGGCTCTTCGCCCCGCAGCACGCCGGTCTCTGGGGCTGGCAGTTCTCAGCCTTTCTCCTTCGGCCCGTGTGCCCGCACGCTGCTAATTGCATCTGACGGCTGGCGCCGGGGTGCAGCTGCTGGCTCCAGCTCCGGGAGAAGGACGCAGACCACTTCCAGGGCTCATTAAAGCGCTGCCACAGCTCAGTGGAGCGATGTCCTTTTGTCCTCTTCTCTCCTCTTCATTTTAATTGACAGAGAGGGACGGTCAGTTTGTGCTACAGAAGGGAAGCAGGACAGGGAAGATCCCAGTGGAATGAAGGCAGCTGCTAAGAAGTGAAATCACTACAATAGGTCTCCTGAAACGCAGGGCTGCAGCAGACGCTCATCTACACAGAGAACCACAAAATCAGAACTGGGAAGCTACTGAAGTTCAAGTAATGACATATAAAGCATTGTGGTTTATAATAAGTGCTAGGAGTTAAACTGGTGGGTCAGCAATATGGCGTATCTGCTTAATATCTTGGTTTCACACAGGATGAGGCATAATGGTAAAGCAAGGTTCTTAGTGCCCTCTGTTAAGTGATAATGTCTCTCATTGGGTCCAGAGAGCCTCCTCTGGGCTCTTGGCAGCACATTATGAGATATAGTAGCTCAACTGATGCGTGCCACCCTTCTAGCACAATGCTGCTTTCCAAAGTCTTTTTCATTAAGAACAAAATCAAAGATATCCTGCTTGGATTGCTGATGTAAACTATTCATATCCAGCATGCATTTAATAGAAGAACCAAACAGGGCATTAAAATCAGCATGTGGCATGAACTGGGAAAAGTTCAATACAGATCCCTGCTACAGAGCTGCAGGGACTGTTGGTTAGCCAAAGGAGCGTGTTAAATAGGATGATGTTTTGTAGTTGGGAGGACAAATAAGTGCTGATGTGAAGTATGCTAATAGACCCACTTTTTTCCCCACCTGAATAGCTAAGGGAAAGCAGGGGAGAAGCTGTGTGCACTGCTGTTGTTAGGGCAGCAGCACGTGCACTTGTGAGGGTGCAATGGTGCATCCTCCAGCTGAGCAAACATGAGGGGTCACAGTGACAGAACTCAAAGGGATCATGCATTTCCCTATCCTTTGAAGAATGCCATGGGGACAACATTTGCTGTGATTGCAGTCCATTATCAACCTCTATCTACATGAACCCACCTGTGCCATCCCCTGCCTGCTCCTGCGGTGAAGGAGGTACACTGGAAAGTTGGAAATTCTCTATACAACTGATTTCAGCTTTTCTCTTGACCCTGATGTCAGTAAGTTGCTGAGGGTTGAGAAATTTTGCAAGCTGTCAGTGGGCTTCTGAGTCTGGAACTGTGATGGAGAAAGTGTTTGGGCAGCCATCACTTTGTAGTTCACTACAAGGGCAGAAGCGTGTCTACTCCTAAAGGGAAAATTTTCTTACACCTCTGCAGATGGTAAAATCCTAATGTGTATCTTCCTATGACATTCGCTACACTGGCTGATAATTTAGTTTTCTCTGGTACTCCTTGGGGACACTTGGAAAACCCATAACCGCCTGGAAATCTTCCACAGAAGCTGGCAGCTGTGAATGGTTTTCCCTGGGCCTACTTGCTTCATTTCTCCACGAAAAGGAGCTGCTATTGCCATCAGACTCGTCATTGCTATTTTCTCTTTTTCAGCCTACAAGGAGAAAATGAAGGAGCTATCTCTGCTCTCCCTCATCTGCTCCTGTTTCCACACCCAGCCACATCCCAACACCATCTACCAGTATGGAGGTACGTAACTTGCTCCCACAGAAGCTGCAGAGCCATTGACAAATGCTGTGGCTGACACTTTGCTCCCAATGTGGGCACTCTCATCCTGGGGCAGAAATCCCCATCTCAGCCCAGGGTCCTGCTAAGCCTCCTTCTCCAGTTTATTCTGCATAGATGTGACTCACATTTTCCCTGAAGGATCTGATCCCAGAGGCTGTATAGTTGCTACTGGAGTGACATGCACTTTGTTAACAGCAGTATGGACTTTCTGTAATTGTGCTGTAACTTAAATGAATTAAGTTGACTTAGAGGGGATGAAGCTGATGACTAATCAAGAAATTCTGGAAGTAGAACAAAATTATCCAGGTCAAGACATGGAACTAATGCGATTGTTCCTGTCTGGAGAGCTCAGTGGTGCCCTCAGGTGAAGGCTCTCCTGAGTGTCACAGGTACACAGAGCTCGTTTGTTTTTTTTCCCCCCTAGATATGGAGGTGAAGCAGCTGGATAAGAGGGCATCGGGCCAGAGCTTCGAGGTGATCCTGAAGTCTCCTTCAGATTTGTCTCCTGAGAGCCCCATCCTTTCCTCTCCCCCCAAGAAGAAGGACCTGTCCCTGGAGGAGCTGCAGAGGAGGCTGGAGGCTGCAGAGGAGAGGAGGAAGGTAACGCGATGTCCTGAAGCAGCAGTGGTAGTGGTACATTGCCCCAAACCCTAAAAAAATGGCTGATCAGGAGCAATCTAAAATCAAAAGTGACTGCTGATGGTGTTCTTAGGTATTATTGAGCTATAGTCAGGTGAGACATGGAGAGGATGCAGTTCTGCAACCTGGTTTAGGCAGGAAATTGGATGTGGTGGCCATAATTGTCCTCTGTTCCTAGAACTGCACAGCTGTATGGAGCCCTGTCTGATCCCACGTGCATGGCCATGCCATGGGGAGTTCTTAGCAGCTGATGCGGATGTGACAGCTGGTCACAAAGCCAGATCAGCCTCAAGCCTTGCTGTTACAACAGCTGCCTGTGCTATTTCCCACATCACTGTGAACGCCTTCTGGAGGGAGGAGGTCAGCAAAGCTCTGTGGGGTCCGGAGCAAGGCTGAGGGATGCTGTCCCATTGCCTCACCAGACCCAGGAGGCACAAGTGCTGAAGCAGCTGGCGGAGAAACGGGAGCACGAGCGGGAGGTGCTGCACAAGGCACTGGAGGAGAACAACAATTTCAGCCGCCTGGCTGAGGAGAAGCTCAACTACAAGATGGAGCTGAGCCGGGAGATCCGCGAGGCGCACCTGGCTGCCCTGAGGGAGCGGCTGCGTGAGAAGGCGAGTGTGTGGGGTGCTGGGGGGTCTGGGGAGGTCATGGGGTCGTAGGGTCATAGATATCGTGAGTTGGAGGGAACCCAAAGGGGTGGTGGAGTCCTGCTTATGGTTTCACTCAGGACCTCCCAACATTGCAACCGTGTTTCTGAGGCATTCTGATGGCCGTGTTGTCCAAGCGCTTCTTGAACTTGTGTCGTGTGCAAAGTGGTGGATGCCCCATCCCTGGAAATGTTCGTGAAGTTCAGGCTGGCTGGGGCTCCAAGCGTCTGACTGAGCTGTGGGCGTCCCTGTCCATTGCAGGGGAGCTGGGCTCGATGGCCATTAAGTGTCCCTTCCAACTCAAATGATTCTATGATTCTATGACCACTGCCCTGGGAAACCTGTTCTGTGCCCAGCTCCCCTCTGCTGAAGAACCCTTTCCTAACACCCAGCCTGACCTTCCCCTGGCACAGCTCCATGCCATTCCCTCATCTGCAGGGCTGCAGCAGGTTGGTATTGCTCCACTTCTGCCCTGCAATGCTTTGCTTCTTACAGGCGAATCCCCCTGTCCTCGGGGTACAAACCATGTATGCGGGACAGGAGGAAAACAGAGCAGGCAGGAGCAGACACTGTTAGCTCTCATTGCTCACCCACAGCCCTCGGCTTGCCTTTAGGACTGACCACCTCGTGTCCTCTCTCCTGTTTTTGCAGGAGCTGCACGCAGCTGAAGTCCGCAGGAACAAGGAACAGCGGGAGGAGATCTCTGGATAAAGGGCTTTTCTACACATCTAGCACCTGATTCCTGTCAACAATCCGACCGACCGACACGTTTTATTTTGTTTGTCTAGATGCAGCGTTTGGTTCTCCATCCCTCCCCCCCCATCCCCTGGTGTTTGTCCCCCCAGCAACACGCTTCTCTGTCTGCATCCTTAATCGTTCGGTGCTTGTGGGGAGTCACAGGTCGTAGAGACCTCTCAGCAGAATAGCAGCTAGTTCACCTGAAATAGAGATCAGTCAATCAAACAGCTTCTTTGGAGGGTTTGTCCTTTTTTCTTTTTTTAAAAAAAAATATTTCTTAAATTCATGTAAAAATTGAGATATGAATAAATTCAACCAGCAGTGTCACAGAGATACAGAACTCTTATCCGGGGGCTTTTACCACTCTTGGTGTTTGCTCTGAGCTAAGTATCAGGATAACAAGGAGTGATCGCTTCTGTACGTAAGCAGAGCAATGAGCAGAATGTCAGTGAGTGCCAGGCTGGCTGCACGGCGCTGCCACGTGGCTCCCAGCCATTCCTGCAGCCAGGGTAGGCAGCAACCCAACGTCCTTATCTTGAGTGAATCTTTGGCAGCCGCTGTGAAAACAGGGGAGGGTCTCAGCACAGAGCTTGGTGCCATGTCATATAACGTCCCCAATCCCATCCTTGTCCCCAGCCCCCTCCCTGTCTTCACATCCATGTCTCCTTGCCCATCTCCATCCCCATCTCTGTCCCCGTCTCTGGTGGCTGCAGGCTGAGCCTCCTGCCCCCATGGGCTCTGTCAACTCAGCTCTGCAGAACCACAGGAGGGCCCTCAGTCTGCAGGCTGCCAGCCCTCCATGGTCACCTCGGAAAGCAGGGACAGGACATGGTGGTGAGGCTGCCTGCTGGCAGGGAGGACGTCGCTCTTCCCAAGGATGGATGTGGCTCAGTGGATGCTGAGGACAGGGAGATCCTGAGCAGCACTTTGGGATAAGGACTTACCAGCAGCACTGGATGAGGTGGAGCTGAGCAGGAGCAGTTCTGCAGGAAGGGTGAGGAGGTGTTCCCATGCTCATTTCTTGGCTATCTTTAGCTTTTCAAAGCCTATTTTTAAGCGAATGTTGTCTCTTGGTAGAGGTAGGGATGAGTGAAGGATATGCAAGTGTGACAGTGGTAGGTGACAGCAGTGTGATGCAGACAGGTGGCTGCCAGCCTGGGGCTTCCTCTGCTGCTATTGCCATGGTCTGGGAGGCAGCTGAAGTCCCAGCACTGCAGGGCTGTGCCCTGGGGACCTTGCACCCGTTCTGCCACTGCCTTGAAAAGCTGAGAGGAAACATTGCATCCAAAACATTGCATGGAATTGGGTCCAACTGTGCATGGGATGCAATGCTGAGCAGCCACCCAGTCTGTGGTGGGATTTGGGGCAGGAGGTGATGAGGGTTACCATGTGCAGTGCTTTGGTGCTGCGCTTTGGGCAGGGCAGCATGCAGGGGGGGGCTGCTGGGGTCCCTTGTGCTGTGTGTGGAGCAGAGGGGGTTACCCCATTCCTGGAGGTGGGATGGAGCCCTGAGCAGCTTGATCTGGTGGAGGTAACCAGCTCACGACAGGGGGGTGGTCTTTAAGGTCCCCTCCAACCCAAGCCATTCCATGACTCCACGATTTGCGCCACAGGCTGCGTGCTTCCCTTTCCATCCCTCCCAAAAAGCATTGCTGGCTCAGTTAGGACCTGACGTTTTCTGTCTCAGGTATGCTTTAATTACACACCAAACAAATGGTTACGACCAAAAAAGAAAAGAAAAGAAAAGAAAACCCACCCAAAAAGCCAAAGGGCAGCACTGCTGGAGGTCTGACCCTGAGCTCTTTGCTGATCTCCCCACAAGTCCCCGAAGATCCAGGAGCAACCCCTCCACGGCCATAGAGCATTTCTGGGGCAACTCTGCTCCTGCAGGAAGGGCCAACCCTGGTGCTGGGGTACTGCAGAGCACTGGGGGCAGAGAGGGAACTGGAGAGGAACCGAGGGTTGACTTTCTTAGCAGTAGCCAATGATCCGTTTATAGTAGCAGCTGTCTTAGATACGCATCGTTGTAGAGCCAGCATCACTTCATCCATATAGTGACAAGAAATTAAAAAGAGGAAAAAAAACATGTTTAAAAAAAAAAAAAAAACAAACCTAATTTTAAAAAGTAATTTAAGCAAAATGTTTGTGTGTAAGAAAGGGTTGAAACTGTCACATGTCTGTGTCCCACGCTGGTGGGATCTGAGAAGGTATCCGCGAGATGTTGACCCCGTCCTGCTCTCTGTGGTGCTGAGTGTTTGCTTGGTGTGTACTTCTGACCTGGAGCTTGTTGTAAATACTGTTTTTAGTACTATGATTATTACTATGATGATGATTATTCTCTGAAATGTTGTACTGATGAGCAGGAGTCCTAAAGGAGAGAGATGAGCACCTTCCCTCCGGAGCGAGGCTGTGGCGCTCACCCAGGGATGGCACACAGATGTTCGTGCTCCTGTCTGTGATGGTGTGAGGGCTGTGCCCTGAGCCAGGGGCTGAGACTGAGGTGCTGTGGGCTCAGCGGGCTGAAGCTGTGCAAGGAAGGGGCTCAGACAGGGGTGAGCCTGGGGAGCACGCTGGTCCCACCCTGTTGGTGCCACGAGGGTGGGGGGATGTGGCTGCAGGATGCGCTGCTGCAGGCTGAGTCGTGCGTTGGTGACTGGCACACACGTGTGGCCAGGTGCTGCCCTGCCATGGGTGGGTGCTCCCAAGTTGGATGCCCCTCACGTCACTGCTACACTGAGCCTTTCTTTGTCTCATCAGCCCTGAGCCGTACAACTGCCGTGCTGTAACCCAGACGTGGGGTTACCTTTGAGTCAGCCTTCTGTGGACGATTCATGACCATGTGAACCCTGCACCGGGGCCAGCTGCTATTGCTGCCCTGTTCCGTGGGGGTGAGCATCCCTGGCGTGGGTTCTGCCCTGCTGCAGCACTCTGTGTATGCAAAATTGCACCCATGGGAACAGGGTTTGCATTCACACTGTTGTGCCACTGGGAATGAGGCAGGGAATGGCTGCTCGTGGTGCTGGAGGTTTCTCATAGCCCAAAGCGGGGCCTGGGGGTCCCACGTTCCATTCTCAGCTGGAGGTGGTTGTTGTGCAAGAGAAGTGATGACGAAAAGAAAGGAAAAAGAAAGGAAAAGGGTCTGATCCCCTGTGTGCCCATCTCTCTCCATGAGTTGGTTGTTTGAGTTCTAAGGCTCCTGTGTGTATTGTGGGAATACCAATAAAAGGCGTTAAACAGAAAATGAACCTAAAGATTTTACAAAACAGAATCCAAGCCTCTGTATGTTAAATGAGTACTTTGCACCCATACAAAAGATGCAGAAATCGAGCCCATCCTTTATCACCATTCTCAGAGGAAAAGAAGCATAATACAATGCTCAAATGCAGGTACCACCCCAGCCCTTCGCTTAGAGGTGAGGGCGTGCAGCGGCGTAACAGAGGACGAGCAAAACGTTATGATTGCAAATACAATAAATCCAGTTCTGGAAAACGTCTGAGTTTCTTTTCTTTTCAATATTCCCTCCCCCCCCCCCCACCTCATGTGTAATGTTTCCTAAAAGCAGCACAGCCCCCACCTCCACCCTGGAGCAGCATCCTGACAGAGCCCTGGAGTGAGATGCTCCCAAAACATCCCCAGTGCTGCAGCATTCAGATCAGTGCCCTTTGTGATTCCCTCAGGTGCTGTCCTGAGGAATCTGCACTGCTGCCTTAGTGGTCCTTCACCAGAATTTGCAGTGCCCACCATCCCAGCCCCTCTGGCCCCGAAGGAACATTCCCACATTCTCAGCATTCTTAGGGACTGCCCCATGTTTTGGGCCCCAGGAGCAGAGCTGGGGCTGCCACACCGCAGCTCTTCCCACGTGCACAGGATGCCACCATCCCCACATACAGCAATTCTATATTTGCAGTGTGACCTTGGCAGTTTGGAAGATAAGAGCCCAAGTGGGAACGCAGTGCAGCTCAGTGCTCAGAGGTTTTCTAGCTGCAGCTCTGGGCATGGGGCTCTGTAACAACATGGTGATCTGTCCTGTGTAAAACAGAGACCAAGTGCCTGCAAGGCAGAGCCCTCGGCCCCAGCTGAGCTTGCAGCAAAAGGGAGATTTTGCTTCCCAGGAGATCACAGACTACAGACCCACTTTCTTTATTGCATTTCTGCCATTGGCCAGCATAGGAGATGATGGCAGAGGGACCTTCCATGGAAAGGGGTTTTGTGATGTCTGGTGGGTGAGTTGCCACTACTGGTGATCTGTTGGTCTTTGAGCAAAATAAATCATATGGGTGGCAGCCCTGCTCACAGCATCAGAATGGGATGGTGCCAATCCAAGCTATGAGTCTGTGAGACTCTGACACCCACTGGGGAGATGACACCCATAGGAGAGGCATCCTGAGCTGCACAAAGCGCTCCCACAGACCGCTGTATCCTCCAGGTGCATTTCTATCTCCAGTTTGACAATGCATTGCTGATAAAAGCAGTGGAACAGTCCTCAGAGAACATATCTCTTCAGACCTCAGGATCGGTGGTGAAGCAGCGCAGCACAGCTCTTGCAGGACTGTGAGCATCAGGGGAATGAGGACTGGAAAGCAGCTGCCTGCAGCTGGGCACAGCCTTGGCACCAGGAGCTCACACGTGGCTCCTGAAGCACTGCACGCCCTGCATGGCGTACTTTCTTCCCATATCCAGTATAAGTTTGCCCTCTTTCAGTTTGAAGCCATTTCCCCTTGTCCTATCACACAGACTCTGCTACAGAGTCTGTCCCCAGCTCCTTTGGATCTGGAAAGGCCGCCCTGAGGTCTACCTCCAGCCCTCTGCCCTCCACACTGCACAGCCTCAGCTCTCTCAACCTGCCCTCATATGGAGGTGTTCCATCCCTTGGAGCATTTCTGTGGCCCTCCTTTAGATGTGCTCCAACAGATCCATGTCTCTCCTGTGCTGAAGACTCCCCTCATGGATGCAGTGCTCCAGGTGAGGTCTCACAGCACAGAGCAGAGGGGCAGGACCACCTCCGTGCCCTGCTGGCCACACTGCTTTGGGTGGAAAATCCATGCATAAGCACTGCTCTGCATTCCTAAATGGAACGAATGCATGGAAGTGCATGCATGTGCACCAACGGGGAGGGAGCAAGGTCGATATGCCCAGCACCTCGCTGCACTTGGCTCAGATGCATACGCTCCCCGTGCACACTGTGCCCTGTGCTGGGGGGTATGCATGAGGCTGGGTGCATTTGGGAGCAATGGCCGCACGCTCAGTGCGTGCATGCAGGAGTCTGGGTAGACGCAGGGCTCCCCGGGGTCATGCAGGGCCCGGGGGCAAGCACGGGACCCGAGAAGCACGCAGGGTGCACAGCAATGCACGCAGGGGGGAACACACGAGGGGCGAGGAAATACATGGAGAGGGAAGAAACACACAGCAGGCCGGAAGGGACACGCAAAGCCGGGAAAGAAGCGGGGAGAAACTCGCAAAGCTGCAAAACTACAAAGCAGCAAAGGCGATGCACTCCGCGGCGCGCTCCCGATGCGCGACGCACCCTGCAGGCGGCGGCGCGCACCGTGCCCCCGGCTGCCCCCAGCCGCGCACGCGCACTGCGCCTCTCTGCCACTTATTTCGCAGGCAGGTCGAGCCGCGGAGCCGCGCCAAATAAGTCCCGAGAGCCGAGCCGGGGCCGTGCGCCTGCGCGCCGCGAGCCGGGGCGGCGGCGGCGGCGGCGGGGGGGGGGGGGGGGGGGCGAGAGCCGCGCGTGCGGCGGAGCCCCGCAGCCCCCAGCCCAGCGCCCGGCCCCGCACCCGGCCGTCCCGTACCCGGTCCGGCTCGGCCCCCGCCGCAGCCCCCGGAGCCGCAGCGAGCGGGGCCGCGGGGCTTCGGCCCGAGGTAAGCGCCGGGCTCGGGCCTACCGCGGGGCCTCGCGCCGCACGCCGCGTCCGGCCGGGTCCCTGCGGAGCGTCAGGACGTTACGGCGGCGGCGGGAGACGCGGCGGCAGCGCCCGGCCGGCCCCCCCTCACCCCCCTCCCTCCTCCTCCTCCTCCTCCTCTTCGCCCTCCCTCCGACGGGAGCGCGCCCACGCGCCCCCCCCTCCCCTCCTAGAGCCGCCTCCGCGCCCCTCAGCCCCCCGCGCTGTCGCCTCTGCGCAGCCCTGCGCCCCCATCGCCTTCACCCCCTTTAGGCGCAGCCCCCCCATAACCCCCCTACACCCTTCTACGTGCATTGCCCCCCTTGCTGCCCCCCCTCCACACAGCGACTTTCTGCCAAACCTCCCCAACCCCCCCCCCCCAAAAAAAACAAACAAACAAAAAAGAACAGGCAGTGCAGTGCTATTCTTTTCTCACCCCATTTTCCCCCTTCTTTGCCAACGCTGCGTTGGGACGCTGAAGTTGGTGGTGTGGGTGGTGCTTTGCTTGGTGGGAGCTCTGTGCCCGTGGTGTTGTGGGGGTTCATCTCAAAAAGCAACGTGGGGGGGCAGGGAGAGGTCAGCCAAAATCCTACAGCAGTCAGCAGTTGCAGAGCTGTGCTGCGTCCTTGCAAGGAGGGGATGGAGCAAAGCCTCAGCTTCTTGTGCTGCCTGCTGTCCGCTCAGCCTCATGCATTACTGCTACAACAATTAACTTTGTTTCTTTCTCATGCAATGAAAGCACTGTAAGAGCAAGCTGTTAATGGGAAGTGGCTTAACGAGGGGGGGGAGCAGCTGTGCTTTCGTTTCTCGAGTTGCAGCTCCTATCCCTGGGAGCACAGCGGTGCCTTTGGAAGGGGGCTGAAGCTCTCCTATTGCATTGAGCGGCTCAGAGCTGGGTGCCAGGAGTGCTGTGCAGTGGCAGCGTGCAAGGACACGGCTTCCCCTGCCTGCACTTGGCTGGGGTTGCTCACCATGAGGTCTCTGCCCATGGGGCACAGTGAGGGTGACAGCACTGGGAGAGGCGGGTGGTTCTGTGGAGATGTGTCCTCACCAGGGCCTGTTGGAAACATCACAGAATCACAGAATGGCCAGGGTTGGAAGGGACCCTGATCATGAATCTTCAACCCCCTGCCAGGTGCAGGGCCACCAACCTCCCCATTTAATGCCAGACCAGGCTGCCCAGGGCCCCATCCAGCCTGGCTTGAACACCTCCAGGGACGGGGCAT